TGTATGAATGAAGTGTGTGAAATGAGAGGGATGTACGTATACAAGAATAAACTGTGATAACTCTCTGAAAGTGTACAATTATTGTAAAATAAAGAAATTTTATTATTCCTGCTAATGTTTTTTGTGAAGCACAAACCAAAAGAACAGTTTTATTTTGACTTTTCTTGTCATTTAATTTTATTATATTTTAGATCCATATCTCTGAAGTAAGTAAGAGAAATAACAAGTGTGAAATGGATTAATTAAAAACAAATTAAATAAAATGTGAAGTTTTACATGAAGTCACTAGGGGAAAAAAATAGGCCATTGGCCATGAAACAAGTATTGGCATTTTCTTTGGAAGTAAAATGTGCCTTATATATAATGCAAGTTGATGAAGATACATGTATTAGTATTTTTGTGTAAAAATGTGGCTCAGCGGTTATTTACTAAGTGCTAAAAATGAAATATAAATGGCCGAATTCAAATCGGTTGTCAAGTTTCATGGGGTCATACATAACAATAAAACACACTCTATAGAATCTGTGAAGAACAGTACAGATCTGTTTAACTCTGTGTCTTACATGTACGACATACACACATGCACTCAGGACTTAGGTCATTTGATATATAGATAATTCACTATATAAGTATAAACAACGGGAAATAATATATAAGTATAAAAATAAAAATATTACAGTAGTAGGTTTTTTCCTTCGATTGATGACATCATCTGTCACATTATTTTCCGTTGTTTATACTTATTCGGAGTGAAATCATGGCAAGTCCATGGTAAAATAAGTATACAACTAATAAAAATAAAAGTGGAATAGTTATCTATTTTCGGTGAAAGTCATGGATATCATGATAAGAAAAGAAGAATATGGGAACTGTATAAAACAACATGATCATTTCAATTATCATTATGAAAATACATGTAAATTAAGTGATCGACTCAAATATCAGTGGTTATTTTGTTGGCAAAACAAATGTCTACATCAACAAGTCAAATAAATTAAATAGCTAATTGTTATCATTTTATAAATCCACATCTAAACCGTGAGCAAAAATCCTCGCCCCTCTTGTATATCATTTTATACTGCTTGCGATAAAACATAAATATATCAGACCCGTAGGAAGCAATTTCAGTTTGGAGGGGCGCAGCCATACATTTTCAGTTGGGGGGGGGGGTACTATCAACTACCAAAAATTCCTTGACAAGTTAAAAAAAAAGGTCATCAGGTCATTTTATTGAGGGGGCACAAGCATATAATAGCTAGATTTTCTATAGTAATCTATATATCGGGAAAATTATTGGGGGGATCCCGGGCCCCATCCCCCCCCCCCGGTTCCTACGGTCATGTACATGTATATGCTTATTCCGTGAGATAGATTCTCTTAATCCATGATTGAAAGTTATTGAATGTCGCATCTTCTTTTGATTTCATTTGTTTTTTAATTATTATTTTTTTAATGACAAAATCTGAGATCAAGTTTTTTCAGGTTCTTCATCCTCTTTTCTCTCGACTCAGTTTTGCTTTATGCGATCATTATTTCTCTTAACAGACAGTCAGTGATCCTTAAATTCTTTTGATAAGATTTTGTGTTTTCCGGCAACCTCTTTCCTTTTTGCATTTTTTTTTCGATTCATCAACTTACGTGCATTCACTTCGGAAGACATTATCTACAATGCACACTAATATTTTGTAGCAACCCACTTTTACTCACTTTCGCAAGAAGGTTAATAAATTATATCTCCACACGATACTAGATCAGTATGTCGTCTTATTACATGCGTTCCTGTATCTCAGGTATGAACATATAGAAAAACATACAGCTCAAACAAGCCACACATGTCTTTTTTTCCCTTATTTTTCTTGTTTTTCCGAATATGAAAGTCAGTCTTTTTTTTCTTGTACTTTGCAAAAATATTGTTAGTCTCTGTTGTTAAAGATATCTAAGTAAACATACATGTATTTTTCTTTTATGGTATATTATTGGTATGTGTAAATTCTTTAATTTCTTTATTTAAAAAAACAATATTTTATTTCATTTCATTAAAAAAAAAAATTTGAACTAGGGGTGTACGGGGCTATCATGTGAACATTATATTGTATAATGAGCTTGGCAATACTAAATCATCATAAGCAAACAAAAATATCTCTTAGGAAAGGATATTTTACACCCAAACTCAATAAATTGGTGCAATTCAAGATATTTTTTCTTCAAAAATCGACTTTTGATTATCCATCTGCTAATAACATTTTCGGATAGATCAACATATCAAGTTTGTATTCCCAAAGATTTTTCAAGTTAAGTTCATTGGTTAAGAAATTACGTCAATTTGAAATAAAGGTGTACTGTTGATCATTATTTACTGAGAAACAAGCGTTACGTATCGTATTATAGTTTTCCTTTAAGATTTTAAAATAATATAGATTGTAATAAATCCTCAATGTCAAAAGCAAATCAGTCTATTTACTTTCGTGATAAGACAGAAAAGGTCAACTGTCATAATGTATTTTATGAATTGATGCAGACAAATTATTGTATTATATTTTTTTCTTCAAATGAATTTGACATATCTCTTAAATTTTATATTTCAAATATGCCTCAAGAAAAATCAAAACTGCCCAGCGCAAATGGGGTTTCTAAATGAATAGAGGATCCATTTATAGAAACGTTAAATAAAATGTTGTTCATGAATTGTGATCTCGTTCTTATTTACACTTTCAAATGCAACAACGTTCGTATGTAACGAATGTTTCAAGAGAAGTAATATTTACTGTTTTTAAGATTAATTCCAACAAAATGGACCTATTCATGAGATGTAATTTCTGCTCTACTTGTGCCATGGTATTGAAAATGTCAAAAGAAATCATAATTTGAACTGCATCATATATATCATCGTGTCATATTTTCCTTGAACTGTACTATATGTACAAACGGATAAGAGATATATGTAAAATTGTCTGTATAGACGTTTTAACAGAACCTAAAATAATGTAAATAACAATTTTTCTGATGACTTTTAGCTTGAAATCATTTAACCATCAATGGAAACTTCCTTCGTATTTCTGTTTGGGTCAATGCCATAGTTCAACTAAAATAAAATGCTGAAACGTACGTTACTTAACATAAATGCGAGTTTAACAGTATCAAAATTATAAGAGAGAAACAAAAAACCCTGATGTAGATTCAGAATAGAAACTCAAGCCTTTGTTTAATCAATATAATATGATTCAATCTAAAAATGTCTTTCAAAATAATTTCAATTAATGTTTTTCTTCAGAATTAATGTGTGTGTTCAATAATGCGTCTCTAGAATCAGTTTATATTAAAATTTATGCAACTTAAGCTTAAAATGATACAAATCAATCAATAAAGTTTACATTCGAACAATTAGTCATGAAAGAAATTCTGTAAATATTGTTGCAATTTTGATATATGATTTGTTAAAAATTTTGTAACATTCGTTACCTTCGGTAACGAATGTTTCAACACCTTTCAAGAGTAATAGAGGACATTCAGGTGTAGATTGATACTGGTTGCGTAGTTGTTGTCGGTCGTTATATAAATATTAACAGTTACATACTAATTCATTCCATTTGATTCATTGTTATTGCATTCTAGAAAACAAACTCACCAACACTGTCTAGACTTTAGAAAAAAAATCATATAAAGGTAGTACCGTACTCCGGATGTCAAAATTTGAAAACTGGCGCAAAATATTTGACTACGTATATGTGCAGAAGATGTTTGAACTCATAAATCATTCTTTTTTAAGAGGTTTGGTAACGAATGTTTCGGTAACGGTTGTTTCATTTAATCATTTTCTCTTAAATAGTAAGCTAACAATAAGACGTTGTTAAATCATTGTTGGAGCATGGAATACAGTTGTTGGATAGAAGAAAAAGTATCACATGTTTAACTATGATATCAATCTATTTCATCTATTAAACTAATACAACGAATGTTTCATGCCTATCCATACGCATGTAAAATAGGAAGATAGAATGTAATTTCAAAGTATTGGTAACATATACAAGGCTTTGTACCATTTTTAATTTTCAAGAAGTTTCCTTCAAAATAAAACGTATTCCAATCTGACAGGCATACAATACCGAATAATCATACTATATTTAATGTCACAGACCGTTTTTATTTTGTTTCTGACGACATGGGGATATCAAATAAAAGTTTGGTAATATCTTTGAGATTATTGTCAATAATTCATTAAAAGCATTTTACAAATAAATGTTTTGAAGGCATATGCTACCTAATTTAAGATTCAACTGTTATTTGTACAAAAAATAGTCATTTAAGTGTAATTATTCGATGTTGGCGACAGTAACGTACGTTTCAAAAATTCACTTTATGCCAAATAAAATATCTCAATATGATTTGTTCACTTCATTTTTGTATTTTTGCCTTAAAGGTTTCATATTCATGCATTCATTCAAAAAGTATTTTCTTTGACATTTCATTATTTTTTTACGCTTAACCTTCAGCGACATCATTTGCACCATTTTATTGAGCTTGAGTGTTTATATTCATGTAGAATATCTGTTATCGGAGACATTATTTATGTCTCCGTTGTTATTCAAACATTTTATTTTGCAAATATATTCAAATAACTAAACTGGACATTGTTCTTCAAGGACTCGTTCATTATATTAATTAAAGGTACCATCAGCATCCAGAACACTTCAGAAGCTTCAATACTAGTGTCCTCTATCGACCAGACTGTCTATAAGATACTATCCATTGGCATGTCTTTTCCTTATTATTGTAATCATTTTATAATTGTCTATTTTGGGCTCAAATTTACAAATAAATATTCTGTTCTGTTACATGTACCCAAGATATATTTTAATTTTAATTTTTTTTTTTTATTTTTTATCAGACCACGTGCATCTGTTTATGCCTGCATTGGACACCCGCCCACTGCTTCAGCTTCATTGGTTGTTTATTACAAGGGAAGCAGTGATTGGTCAGCGCTTCAAAGCATGTGATTTATCACTGATTCTAAGTGTATTGCAAGTGTGACAGTGGTTTAGAACGATTACAGACGTCCGTTGCAATGCAATTTCGATTTGACATTTCTTTGTTTTTTTCTTAAAGAAGATTATTATAAATAACCAAAATGGCAACAGCTAAAATGTGGTGTCTCATCTCGCAACCGAATTCCGTTGTTCTTGATGTAGAAGTGGATCAAAGAGCCAATGGACAGGAATGCTTAGAAAAGGTAAGTTATTATTTAATTAGCATTTCTTTGGATTCGTTAATTCCAAATATTTTACGAGTTATCTATATACATTTTTATTATAATAATAAATGAAATTTAAACTTGGTTTGCATGACATTTGTAAGAAAACTACAGCATGAAAGTTTTAGCGCATGGATCTCAAGTCGCCATTTTTTCAGCTCAGGGTCCAAAGTCCAACTCGACAATGCTGGTGCAATTCACTTCACTGACTTTGAATGACATTACTCATTTGTGGCATTTTTTTCACATATATATATCAAGACCAATTTCATATGGTACATATTGATTTATAAAAAATACCATTACATGAAATCATACATTAGAAACAGTGCAAAGTTTGTACAGTCAGCTGTTTTGTGTAAACAAATCAATATTGTGTAAGTGCTATATTTAGCATGAGCAGCTCTTTGTTACTGTAGCTCTGCATATTGGAGAAAAAACAAACAGGAAACAAAGTTATTTGATATTCACCTGAGTTGACAGTCTGGTGTAATTTCAATAATTAAAATGCTGTCTTTATATTCTATTACTGAGTGAAGTATCAAATATAGTCTAGATCTAATTAGAACCATCTGACTTTCTCAAAAATGAAATTTTTGCTACATAGCATGGCCATTTTTGAGGAGAAGAACTGCGAAATGTATTTAATATATATATGAGATATCTATTCTTCATGAATTTATTGTCCTTAATGCAGCAGGACTGCTGCCTCAAATACAAAATGTCCTCTGAAACCCAAGTGAACTGTAAAGCTTGATTTAGAATTCATTGAAAAAAGTAACATGTTTTCTTTGTGGATATTTAAGCATTGAATAATTATTTCTTGAAAGGTATAGTCTCATATGACATAACTGCAACGGTATTTGCAAACAAATTGAGTAACACGCGTATTGAAATTTTGTTTGCAAACACCATTGCAGTTATGAGACTATATATAATCTTTCAAAAAATAATGATTTTTAACTCCATGCCTTGACTGCAAATGTGATTTACATTTCAAAATCCCAGTATTACCCTTCGGGTAAGTTTGATTTAATGGAAGAGCCATATTGCAACAGCTTCTGTTCAATGTGAGCCTGAATTTTGATTTTCTCTTATGACCTTACACTTCCAAGGCGTTCAATGTTTGTGACGTCAAGATAAAACGCATACTTTAACCTTTTGACCCCTTGTCGTGTTATGGTGTTTTGAATGCTGTAGCTTTCCTCACACTTTATTAATAAAATACATGAGGAATGTAAATATAGCCCCATAGAAATATACACAGTGAAACGTGTGTTAATGTGACATCACTTAGTATGAAAAAAAAAATTTCAATGTAGGGCAACCCAAAATTCAAATATTGAGTATATTTTTGTTGGTTTTAAAGCATTAAAATGTAAATATAAGGAATGATTTTTAGTTTTGTGAGTGTTATTGGCTTGTAAATCACACAGAGTGACCAACTTGCACAAAGGCATATTTTTTCATGAAATATACCTAGTGACAAGTCGGTGTGATTTACACTCCAATAACATGCACTCACAGAACTAAAAAAACAATTTCCATTTTATGCAGTATATAGGGAAAAAAATTGTAACAACTTTCCATCATTGTCACACCTAAAACACCACTTTAAATATTTTCTGACACTATATTAAACTTCAAGAGAGACTCTTTAGTATACACATGAAGATGATACAGATATGAGAGTATTGTAGACATTTGAACTTATAACCCATTTGAACCTTTTCAACTTCTTTAACCCAATTGAACTTAATTATTTTTTGAAAAAGAGTACATGTAATTGATAGACTAATGATGGAATACTTATAATATATTGCCCTTTGTTATTACCATTTGTTAAATATCTTTATACTGAATTACAGGTCTGTGAAAAGCTTGGAATAGGCTATTCAGAAAAGGATTATTTTGGCCTTCAATATAGAGGGAGCAGGGGAGAGAATTTGTGGCTGAATATGAGAAACCGAATTGACCGACAGTTGTCTGGTCCACAGCCCTTCAGATTCCAGCTGAGAGTCAAGTTCTTTGTCCAGCCTCACATGTTATTGCAAGATACAACCAGGTAAAGTCCATTTATTTGTAGAACTAGAAGAAAACATTAGATGCATGTCACTGGTTTGTCTTCAATATTCAAGGACCGTTGAGTGCCGAATGCAATTATTTTGCTTTATTTACAACTTGTATAACCTTAGCTACCGGTACTCTCTATGGTTCTTTTTACACAAGAACCATGTTATAAATAAGTAAACTTAGAGCTAATTAATTATTTTTTTCTGTTTATAACTGGAGCTAGTTTTTTGCCTCCACACTGCTCAACCGATTCTGACCAATATCTCAACCAATCCTAGCCAATATCAAATCACTATGATACCAGGGATATATTTATATGTATACACATCCCTGATGATACTCTCAATGGAAGGGGAATGTTGATAATCATAATAGTGATTTTTTAAAATTAAGCTATTTTGCAAATTAAAGCCCCAGGACAGATCAGTTTCTTGTAATTCAATGGAATTTTCCTGTATGAATTTAAAAATGGATATTCCATGCCAACTAGGTGCAATCTTGCTTTCTCAATTTTCTTATAGTTTGCATAGTAAAATTGGGTCAGATGATGCTTGTTTACAAAATCATAAGCTGCCATTTAAACCAAGTAAAGTTAGGTCATGCCAATGCGTTCTCTGGAACCTAATTGATTTTCAAATGTACATGTAATAATATTTGCAATACAGTAATTATTTATTTAGGAAAGTTTCATATAAACTGAAATAGTATAGGAGTAGATATATTTCACAAATCAATTGGCTTCTGAAAACAAACATATTGTGGGAAAACATTAATAAAACATAACAAAATAAATTCTAATACAGGTTGACATATTACAATGTAGATTTAAAAGATCTGGAAAAAACTTGAAATAACTGTTTACAACATAGCACTCCTGGGACTTTTTAAGTGGAAGGGAAAACATTTACTGTTATAATGTCTTTGGGTTAACTAAGTAAGTTAGACTAAGGAAAATGAAAACAAAAACAGCAGTATCTTTCAGTGTGGTAAGTTTACTTCGTGCACAAGCTAGTATTTATACAGGGTTGTTTACATGTGATGATGATCAAGAAAGCTCTGTTGTTGAACAGTTCTGATGGAGTAGTTCTCTTGTTCAAGATGACCCAACTGTCTATAATCTAGTCTGTTCTGAGTGGCTACTCCAACCCTTAGGCTGTAAATATCTTGTAGAGTGTAAATAAGCTAGCACATAAAGGTCACAAGCGGCCATTTGGCTAAGAGAAAACAAACTAAATGGAAATGGAGTGAACAAGAATGTATATCATACCAAACAACATCAGGGCAATAATTGGGAGAATTAGGATGGTCATTAGATAATTGCTAAGATTAGACACAAATTCTTTTCTCTGCAGCTATGAAAAAATCATCCAATTTTCATGTTCAGTATAGTGACATATTTACAAGGTTGTAATGTAGTCCTTAGCCTTGGACTTAATATTCTTGAAAAAAAAAGATAAGATGTGTTTGGAGAACATTTAAATCCACTTTAAACAAAGGACAATTTTCCTGTCATGGTCTTTAGAAGGTTAAGGTTGGACTTTAACCTGGGTTGGTGTGTACAAAGGAGGCAACTGGGAGTTTGCTATGACAGCTAGGGCAATTGAACTTTTTACTTCAGAACATATTAAGACAAGTCCTTTGTTTGGAAGTATTTTGATACCAGAGGAATCGAGAGGGAACGTAAAGGCTGATTTTAACTTTTAAGCCCAAGCATGCAGTCCCTTAAAAAAGAAAAGAATTTGGTTTATACATGATGTACGTATTTACTGTATAGCTCTTTTAAAAAGTCTCCTTCTGAGTTACAGTCTGATCACATGTGTAATAAGTTTGATGTACTGTTTACAAAAGTACATCTCCTTTATATACAATAATAATTTATCCCTGTGCCATTTTAATAAAGAATTTTGTTAGTATGAATGTTTAATACCAAATACATTATTCTTAGACTCCAGTATCAGCCTGTGGCTCTTATTGAGGCCAAGGTCACACTTCATTCTCCCTGCCCAGATTAATTGATAAGTTCTACTGCTGCTTGATTATTTAATTGGCAAATTCAATTTGAACAGTTATTTTTAGCCTCTGTCTAATCTCTGACTAATATAGATATAAATGCTATTGTGTAGGATATGCATGAGTTAAATTAATGAATTGCTGTTTAAATGTATACACTGTGGACATGCTGAATATAGGTAATACTTCCTCAATGGGTCATTGGTTAGAAGTGCTTACATCATATGATCATGCTTGCTTTCCCACTCTGATCCAATTACAGACTGTTGACCCCTGATTCTTTGTAATTCTACTAAACAACAGTACCCGATAGGTCCTTCAACTTAAAAAAAAAATGGATGCTGATTTAGTGATCAATATATACACAAGTATTTACAATTTTTTTATGGTATTGATATTGGATATACAATATAATTGTTAAACGTGATGTATAATTAATATACTGAAAATATAAGTACATGCTTTTTGCTTTTAGAAAACAACTGTTAACAAAACAAGTAGTTTCCTGATTAATAACATATTAAATGTTTTTTGAGATGGTTCACTTTTGATGGTGATTGAGATTTAATAAAAGCCATATACATATTGTACTGTGATGTATAAATTTTCAATATTACATGTATAATTAATATGCTCTGATACTGACTGTATTTTTGGTGTTTTAAGTTTGGCCTTCATCTATAATCATTGTGAGGAATAAATAGCTTGTATATTCCCATTCCAATCACAACTTGCTAAAAAGAAAAAAGTTTTAATATCAATCTGAAAGTCAACTTAAAGCATATTCCAGCCATTAATTAGTACTTTAATATAGAAAAAGTTGTTTGTAAATAAATGAGAAATAATTATTTTTTTTTTGGTTATTGTTCAGTTTGAACAAATTGTTTTTCTTTTAAGACTCTAATAATTTAAATATCTGCCTTTAAGTATTATTTGTTATAAAAAGCCCTTTTGCATGATCCACTTTGAAACTTGATTATGATAAAATTGTCTCAAAGACAATGCATCTTTCGTGGACTGAATGAAATAATGCATATACAAATTGATTTTAATTGTTTTTTTTTAGACATCAATTTTATCTGCAAGTGTACCTTGAGCTAAAGACCAAAAGACTGTTGGTATCTGATGAAGAACATTTGGTAGGAATCCTGGCCCTAATAGCACAAGCGGAACATGGCAACCAAGTTAACAGCGAGCAGCAAGTCCTTTACTACCAAAATCTGATCCAAGGGATTGCCTCCCCTTCATCAGAGATCCTCACAGATTTAGCATACAAGCATAGCAGTTATAGAGGTATGCCAAGACAGTCTGCGGAGTATAGAGTTGTCCAAGAGGCATCCGTACTGCCAGGGTACGGCATGGAGTATCATGAGGCCAAGAATGTAAATAATGAGGATATCTGTGTTGGTGTTGGACCAGAAGGCGTGGTCATTTATGACACTAACATGACTGAGATTTCCAGGTTAGTTCAAGAGCTTCAAACTTAGTATGATTTGGGAAAATCCATTCATAAAACTTATTATCTTGGAAAATCTATCCATGATTGTACATATTTTCATTGTGTTTAAATGTATACCTTATATTTTTGTCTAGCTTTAGTTATAGTGTTTTTGATTTTGTTAAGTATTCTTGAATTAAATACAATAAGGAAGAAGAGATTATATGTGTGCACCAAATGATTTCTTTCAAGTTTAAAATAGAAGAGGTCAGAGAGGACAGCTGATAATTTCAAACTAACAATATGAAAATTGCTCATTTCATAAGTGTTTATAAATGTTTTAAAAAATTTTTGTAGGTTCCCCTATGCTATAGTCCAGAAGGCCATTCACAACAGCAAAAGGTGCTTGCTGTATGTTTTCACAGAAGATGGAGAGGTAACGCATGAGGAATTTAAGATGGTCAGCTGTAAGGCAGCCATTTCCCTATACAGGAGTATCACAGAGATGCACACTTTCTTTAGGTGTGACACTATCAATACGGAGGTGTTTTCTCAAGTCAGTCAGGACCTCAAGGGAGTACTGGCCTCCATATTCCTCAAAGACAATAACTCTGTCGGTAAGTTTTAATATCTTCTATACGTCTGTTCTAGGTAAATCTGCTCCACCAGCAAATGAATGTATTCAACTAAATTCACATGAAAATATTATAAGTAGAATAAAAGAAGAGATCTGTTGTTTGGGGAAGTCTATGTGATTGTGAGTTGTTTAGTTCTGAGGTGTTCAGAGAAAGGTGTTACATGTGCACAATATTCATATAACTAGATTAAAGAAAAACATACAAACTTCTGTAAGCAACACATTTTCATGAAATATTTTATGTGTGTATGTGTTTGTTATTTTGTTGGGTTTTTTTTTTCACAAGTGTGACTAATATTTCCTTTCTTGTCTGTTGTTTTGTTTTGTTTTTTTTTCACAAGTATGACTAATATTTCCTTTATTGTCTTGTTTCAACAGGTATGAATTATGTTTTCGATGTTCAGCACACGTTCAGAGAAGTCTATGACAGCACTAAGAGGAAGATGTTTATGTCGCAGCATAACCTTGATGACCAAGGTCAAGGTCACTCAGAATCAGATATGGAAACGACCTGTGAAAGACAAGAAATCTCAGATAATTGTGAGGTAAGTTTATAAAAAGGATCCTCAAAAATCTTCAATTGTATGCATTTCAATAAAGCTGAAGAAAGAGCTCCAGTTAATGGTGCTTGAACAGACATTAGAAAATGAATTATTTCAAGTATGTCATGGAGAACTGTGCTAGTTTTCAATAAAATCAATAGAGCGCTCAGGATAAATGTACAGTTAAATAAAATGGAGTAAGTTAATTGCAAAGACACCAGCTTTGTTTTTTGAACAAGTTTTATTCAAAATTAAAAATTAACTGTTACGTAAATTTTTAAAAGAAATTTTCTTGCATTTTCTTGATACCGTACTTACAATTGAAGAAATTAAAATTCTTGGAACTGAATCCTTTTGAACATGTGCAATCTATTGCTTACATGTATAGATTTAAGTAGTAGTTTATTTCTTGATGATTATATGTCTAAAACTCATCATCACAAATGAGATCATTTTTAATTTTCATAAATTAAGATTTTCATAGTTATGTTTGAAAATCAATACTGGAAACAAGTTATTACGAAAGTTGCTATTTTTATCAGCTGAAGTTTTACCTGGGATTTGTAATCTGAGAGTGGCTTATTCATCCATTTCTTCTAAGAACTGTATAGGCTGATCCTACCTTGATGTACTTTAAAAAAAAAAAAAAAAACTTGAACAATAAGTCATATAAAATCATATGTTGAGGTAGATAAACTGGAACAAAAGATTGAAGTAAAATGACATCACTGGCTGGAATTTCCCTTAGAAATCCCGGGTAAACTAGGTCATAATAGGATGTTTGATACGCAAAACTGGCATGTTATAAAGCACAGTTAATTATAGCATCTTTTGTCATGTATTTAGGATGGATTTAAACTGAGTTATATGAAAGATGTAATGATAAGAATCATATCTGTTGACAAAGAAAAACAAAAAAAATAGTCTTACTGAAGTAGATAATTTACATAGATTCAAAGCCCTTAATGATTTTTATGCAGTACTTTAAATTATGCAAACAAGAGTACCGCTACACTTAGAGTTTTGGGTACAATATAAGACCAAATTTCTTTTTGTAAGTGAGAAATCTCCACTTTAGAAAAGTATGATTCACATTTACTGTTAACAAGGGTCAAAGTCCAGTTTAAGTGAAGTGCTGGTATGAGTTACATCAGTTGCTAAATTGGGGCATATTGAAGTGTGGGTCAATGTTTAAGGAGGAGGAGGTACAAAGTCTGAAGAACACAGTGAGATTATTGTAGAAGACCTATAAACACACTTCACACTTTTTTATTACTGCAAAATGTCCCATTTTTTATCATTTTTAGTGTGTAAAATTGTCTGGTTGTAGTCTATACAAGAGAAGTGTGGGGGAAAAAAATTGCATGTTCAATAAAGCTTTTTTTAACAAGGACACTTTTTAATTGACTCTTAACCAGATATTTTGGTACTTTATATCATTTTGCTAAAAAAGGGAAATTGAAAATGAAACAAAAAAATTTTAAGTGAGATATTTTTATTTTTAGGAATATAAGACACAGTTGGAAAAGATCCAGGAATCTTTTTTATGTCGAGTGTGCATGGACAAAGATATTTCTACAGCTCTTTGCCCCTGTGGTCACATGATCTGTTGTAACCAGTGTGCCGAAAGACTAGAAGAATGCCCTGTGTGTCGGACTGCTATAAACACTATACAAAACGTGTTCTTTCCCACTCCCATTGCATCCTCGAGTAGGTAGCAGTGATGGAACAGAAACACAGAGAGTGGCTGTGATACGGGGAAGATTGGTGCGAAAGCAAAAAACTGCCAGATCAATGCAATAGATACTTTGTGATTTTATCATGTTTAATTTTACCCGGGATGTGTGCATATAAATACGTTCATTTTCATTTCTTTTTTTCATGATGTTCGAAGTCAAGTTTTTGCCATATTTCATTGAAATCATCTTTTTCCTCATTTACTTTACAAGTACATACCCAATGTTTATCTCAAATCATACAGTCATACATGTACATTACAATCAACAACCTCATTGATGATTATTTTTAGATGATAATTTGTAAATTTTGAGCATTCCTTATTTTATACAGATTGTCTCAAAATTTCTTCATTATGAGCTTCACTAAACATTATTTGAGGAACTTCGTTTATATTTATATGAATATGTTGGGAGGGAACATAACTGACAAAGATTTTAATTTTATTTGTTAAAGGAGATTCAAAAAATGTATTTTTGGTACTTCAAAATTTCTAAATTGGTAAAATGTGTTAAGTGAGTGGTTGATTGGATAATAAGCTTACTTTTATTTTGATAAGTTTATCATTAGTTGAGGGAAGGTGTGGGATCAAAGACTACCTCTGTTTTCAACTTAAATACTTAGATTGTCCGGAGAGATTCAAAACAGATTGAATGAAAGTTGGTGGCTAAAATATAACACATATCTAGTGATAATTTCCATGTATTCTCTATGTTATTCTCACATTAAGGATCTTTATTTGTCATTATCTCATTTTGTCCCATTCAGGTTGTTCTTTTGAACTTCCTGGTATATTAACTTATTATTAATTTTTCTTTTCCTGTATTTTTTTTTCTTTTTTAACTCTTTACAAGTTATTCTAAAGTCCTAAGAAAGGTGACATTATAGTTGCCATAATTGTAGCATACAAATATTATAGAGGAACTTTAGTCCCAACTTGTGTATTTCTTTGTATAGTTTAAGTATTCACTTTCTGACTCACAGGGTATACTGCCAGTTCATTGTATAATCTTGAGTGATATTAAATGCAGCACATGTACTGATATTGGAAGAGCATTGAAATTTGATATTAAAAATCAAAGTCAGCATTAAAAATATTATATAAATAAAAATTCTGGTCTATGTAAATGCACACTGTTAACATATTCAACATGTTCAAATGTAAAATATATTTATTATTTAAATTTTTCCAGTTGGAAATTGCACCAATATGCAGCAGTTAAGATATAAAACTTGTGCACTAGATATATTGTTATTATGCAATAAATATTCAATTCCTCGTGATTATGCAATAGAAAATCACAGATTTCTCATTTTTCACCTCTCACTTCATATAAAATAAAATTCTGCTTTTTTAATCTGTATGGTTGTAAATGACAGTGTGTAGACGAGTATTGTAGATCACATTTCATTCATGAAAACTTGATTGCAGTTGAACTTCGGTATCTCAAACATTAATATCTTGAATACTATGGATGTGTTGAAGTGAGCTGGAAATCCCAATGACTCTTTGTGTATTTTACCCTCGATATCTCAAATTCTCAGATATTGAATCCATTGAGATCGAGATACTGAGGTTTGACTGTATTTGTTCAGAATGTGAAACTAAACAAGGGGAAGAAACTCTGGTCTCCAAAATAAATGGAATGCTCTTGTCTCAAAAATAAAAAAAAATAAAGTCATGTGAAATGTGATTAACAATATTAGTTCAGTAAATGAGAGCACTGTATGAAAGTTTTGTTATTTGTTGATTCTGTTTAAGAGGTTCTCTGTGTGTATGGTTGTTGTTATATTGAATGAGTATGGAGGACTGACAGAATGGCATTATATATATTGTATATAGTGGATGTTTCAAGAGAATATGTAAATAATGTAGATCAAAATTTGATAGGAGAGGACAAAGAGTATCAAAACTTCAAATTCTATTTTTATGGTCTTTTTTCTGGATAAAAAAATCTAAGAAAGGAATAATTCTTTGTATGTACAAGCCCTGGTTTTGATTTTAGTGAGCTTATGTTAATTTAGTAGGGGTATAGTGAATGCCAAATATTTGAATTGTGTTGTGTATGTGTACATTATATTTCACATCATTTTGCATTCAGTTGGTGTTGAGGCTTTTGCTAGATATTTTCATTGTCAAAGATGTAATTTATGTATCATCAGGATGAACAAAACCAAAGTCACTGCTAACTGCCATAGAATTCAAAGCTGCCTGAAGTTTTATTATTTTTTTTCTGTTTTACCTTTTGGTGATCAGGCAATATTACAAATAATCAGACTTCAGCTTTATTGGAAATACATCCATCATCAAGGAAGATGATTTTTGTTTTCTCATTTTTTCCATCTTACTTGTAACTACCGGTAATTTTGAAAATGAAGATGAAATTGTCTTTTTCCAATTTTGCTGGAATGAAATGCAGGACGGATTTTTAGTTTCATTTTAATGAGTTGAGATATTGATGTTATGAAATTGTTTTGTTATTTTAAACATAATGTAGCATTGCTTTGTAGAGGAAAATAAGTGTCTTTCAATTATGTACAAGTACAAACTGACAGAGAGAAAAAATCCACAAAAATAATAAAGTTATTTTAAAAGTGTTTTGTTTGTATGTTTTTTATTGTCATACATTATGCAAGTTTTAAAAATTACGAAATTTAACTTTAACTTCAGTACAGAATACATTCATAATTTTGGACTTGCAATTTTTTATAAACTGCTTGAATGGTAAAAGTCGGGATGACATATTATTATAATTGCTAGGCCTAAATTTTGTCTAAGAATGCCCTCACATATGACCATGGCTAGTAGAATCTTGTTGAAACTTCACAGAATTCATATTCACCAGATGTAGTGCTTTCCACATTTTAAAGAGATGAGTGAACAAGGCAAGCAAAATGCCTGTAGTGTGACAAACATGAAGGTGAAAAATTAAATCTCAACTACATTAAAAAATCGTTGATATTTCATCTAACAATTTACTTTATGTAAATTCTCCACAATTGCACAAATCTCACAAAGATTGAAAATATTTGCCTATAAATAGCATACACACACTAAAGAGGTCAAAAAGGATCATTTTCTCATATTATAACACAATTTTTCATTATGAGTGGGTCTTGGCTCCATTTTTTTCTTAAAGATTATTCTCAAAGTTTGCGTAAAAATTAAACATTTTTAGTAAAAAAAAATATGGAGCAAAGACCCACTATACCTTAACAAGAGGCCCATGGGCTCATCTTCTGATAAACTGTACAACCTATCACTTCTATTTGAAGCCTCGAAGTATCCTGTATATTTAGATAAACCCTTGAAATTCCAATTCACACTCTGAGAACCCAAGATGATTCTAAGCCAATTAGTACCTGAGAGTTGGTCATGGTGACCTACTTATCACTTGTCATTCTCTGAGGACCCATCAACTAAGTTTGATGATTCTAAGCCAATTAATACCTAAAATATTTTTTAAAATTATAACCATAAAATTTTATAAGTAGGTCAAAGTGACCTACTTTTCAATTGTTTTACTCCAAGGACCCAAGATGCATCAACTGACAAAGTTTGACAATTCTAAGCCAATTAGTACCTGTAATATTTAATTAAAGCCATAAATTTTCAAAAGTAGGTCACCGTGACCTACTTTTCAGTTGCTGTACTCCGAGGACCACAGATACATCGACTGACAAAGTTTGATGATTCTAGCCAATAAGTACCCAAAATATTTAATTACAGCCATAAATTTTCAAAAGTAGGTCACGGTGACCTACTTTTCAGTCAACCTACTCCGAAGACCAAAGATGCATCAACTGACAAATTTTGACGATTCTAAGCCAAATAATTCCTGAAAATGTTAAATACAACCATAAAATTTCAAAAGTAGGTCACCTTGACCTACTTTTCAGTTGTTGTACTCCAAGGACCCAAGACGCATCAACTGACAAAGTTTAATGATTCTAAGCCATTAGTACCCGAAATATTTTATTAAAGCCATAAATTTTCCGAAAGTAGGTCATGGTGACCTACTTTTCAGTTGCTGTACTCCGAGGACCAAAGATACATCAACTGACAAAGTTTGATGATTCTAAGCCAATTAGTACCCGAAATATTTAATTAAAGCCATAAATTTTCAAAAGTAGGTCACGGTGACCTACTTTTTAGTTGACCTACTCTGAAGACCCAAGATGCATCAACTGACAAAGTTTGATGATTCTAAGCCAATTAGTACCCGAAATATTTAATTAAAGCCATAAATTTTCAAAAGTAGGTCACTGTGACCTACTTTTTAGTCGACCTACTCCGAAGACCCAAGATGCATCAACTGACAAAGTTTGATGATTCTAAGCCAATTAGTACCTGAAATATTTAATTATAGTCATATAAATTGAAAAGTAGGTCATGGTGACCTATTTTTCAGTTGACCTTTTTTGAGGACCCAAGATGCATCAACTAACAAAGTTTCATGATCATAGGACTTAAAATGTCCAAATTATGCCTCTAAAACGCTTTGAAATCGAATGCCTGCAAAATTCAAAAAGTAGGTCACTGTGACCTACTTTTTAATAAATATGTTTTATGGCCCCAAGATGCATCATCTTACAAGACTTAATGATTCTAAGCCTCCCCGTATTCGAATTAATGACCTTAATTGTTTTAAAAAAGATTAGCCATAAAATTCAAAAAGTAGGTCGAGGTGACCTACTTTTTAGTTGACATACTTTGAGGACCCAAGATGCATCAACTGACAAAGTTTGATGATCATAGGCCTTAAATTGTTCAAAATATGCCTCTAAATCATTTTGAAAAAGAATGGCCACAAAATTTAAAAAGTAGGTCACTGTGACCTACTTTTGAGTCAACATGATATGAGGTTCTTAGATGCACCAACTGACAAGATTTGATGATCCTAGTCCTTATAGTAAGCAAAATATCAATATTTTAATAAAATGTAATTTTTGGTCAACTTTAAAGTGACCTTGAGACCACGCCCTTTGCCCCAGGGTAAATCCCCGAGCAAATTTTAATCTACAACATATCTTCATCCTTTTGTGTAAGTTTGGTGATAATCTGCCCAGTGGTTCTAGAGAAGAAGATTTTTTAGCAACCAGTACTTTCATTTCTATTTTCCTAATTATCTCCCCTAGTTAAAGGGTCACAACCCCAGTTTTAGTATAAAGGGAGCCCTTGGGCCAAGGATACCCTGTGACAAATTTGACAATAATTGGCCAAGGGGTTCTTGAGTTATGGCCCATATTCTAAAAAGTTTACGCACACCGCACACCGCATACCGCACAAATGGCCATAGCATTAGCTCTTTGAGCCTTTGGCTCAGAAGAGCTAAAAATTCACTTTTATGACACCACATTCACATATTTTTGAGAAAAACTTAGTCCATTTAGTCAAGGGTCATATCACAAACATGATTTAAATGCCACTATTGATCAGGAGTTGTGAAGCATAGTGGTTAGAGTGTTGGTCTCAAAGGGAAATGATACTCTGGATTTTTATTGCTAGGGTTCCAATCCCATGAATACCACATTTTTTTTTTTTTTTAAAGCAGAACATTTTTTCCTGAGAAAATTATCCTCAGAAAAGTTTCGTTTATCATAATATCATAAATTTCAATAATGAGAATTTTACTCTTAATAATTCACAAACTAAATATGTTTTTTATATATCTGAAGCTATAGGCATTCTGCATACCTTGATCACCCATCTCCTTTTCCAAATGGCCACAGTTACCGAGGAAACAGCTAAATAAGCAATTTTTCAATTTTGTTATTCTAATTAAGGAACTGTCCAGACAATCTTTGAGAGATTTTGAAGGTTTGTTTCTTGTATCCTGTCCTTGCAAAGTGGTTTCTGCCAAGAAAACAAAGAAGCTGGAATTAACTGGACGAAGTTTTTTGCTATTTCCATGGATAGAATGATTTAGTTTTCTTAAGACTGTAATTTTTAGGAAGTAGAAAATTTGCAGTCATTATTCCATGAGCATCGTGTATTGACCTTGTTCAGGTACTGTAAACTAACTTTTATTCGCGTTCGAGAAATATTCACAAGTTTCGCGACCTACTTTAATTCATGAATATTTATCACCACGAACCTATTACATGTATTTTGCTTTGTTTTTGTGGGGAATATTTCCTAAGTCACAAAAATTAATTGCCGCGGATTGATTTCAAAATGACAAATCGTGAATAAAAGATGACGCAAATAATACAATGTAGTTGGTTTACAGTAAATACTATGCTTTTTGTGTGTATATTGCTGTATCATACACAAAACTTAATTGATGCATTATTATTTAACTGTTAGGGTAAGTTTAATTGGGGTGACATGTTATTGCTTGCAAATTTACTTCATATTATTTTTTTTCAAAACCCTGAGAAGTTTTGACAGCAGAAGAGGTGATCACCATTTTGAAGAATGAATGTCAAGTAGTATATTATACCTCCAAGAAAATTAATCTGCTTTCTGGTCCTTCTAGCCAAATCTACAAGTTAAATTTTAAATTTTCTTTCTCTTATATAAATAGCATTTTAAAATATATTTCATGTGATCATTGAATAATTGTCTTTACTCATTTTTAAACTTTATACAATGTCATGTAAAGTTCATGAAAAAATTACACAGTTCTGTTTATAAATTAGCTAAAATACGCGACCTTGCAAAAATGAATTAAAGAGCTAAGTTCAGAATTCTACTTTGCCAAATAATTGACTCTTTTGAAACTTTCATATCTGTAACAAACTATTCCTGGCAGCAAATAATACAATTTGCATTGAGTGTTGATTTCTTCTTTTTTATTGTCAATCTAGTCTTAGCAAGAAATGCTTTTTAAATTCCCTGCTCATGTGGTCTATACATAGAAAGACAACTCTTCACAACCTACCATCAGATGATAATAGAAGAGAGACAACTCTTCACAACCTAATAGAATTCATTTGAATTTGCAACAAAACACAAAAGAATTATATTTTTCCAATGTACCTATGGATGATGATTTAACAAAGATTCTCCTATACATGCACTGACTACTGATACATGTAGCAGCAATCATTCTGTTTTTACTAACCATCATTTTCGGATTTGGGAGGAGGTGAGTTTAAGCCTAATAAAATAAAATAATAAGTGCTTTACAACCTACAACACTAACTATGGGGTATCAATGAATAAGTTTTCTACTCCAACTTGTTCACTTTGAAAGTGCTTTCCTATATTAGATGTGTACATAGTGTTTACAAATTTAAGATATTGTGACATTGTTTTTATCTTGCTTAAAAGTTTAAAAAAGTTTTTTAGAATGTGAATATATGTGGTATTCACATAATTTCGATCAATGTCCTTAACCTTTGAAATTTTGGCCCTGGAATCCATAGTCTTCCCCCAGGACACCATGTATTTCAGTATAGATTATGAGCATTTCTATAGAAATTACTTGACCGTAATGTAAAGTGATACTTTTAAAATTGAGTTCACTACTTAGTACAACTACACCATCTTTGATGTTGACCTTTTACCCTGGAATCAATATGTTTCTTCCTCTTCAATGGTAAGTACATTCAGATTGTTAACAAGATACCCTAACTTTGACCTCTACCTTTAACCTTTTGACCCTCTGGCCTCATTAGCTTGTAAACCTCTTTATCTGCTACCTATGCAGAAAGAAACAGTCAAACTCCAGAAAAATTTCTTCAGGATATACCTATACATGTACATGTACCAGTAACGATATAATGGCAAATTAACAAGAATGATTTAATCATCAAAAATCATTTCATAAGACATTTTTTAACAAACAAATCTTCTACGCAGTTGCTCACTCAATAGAGCATTCTTAGGACAAAATTTACTTCAACTTTCTTTTATTGCCAGTATATATAGGTGGATGTTCTATACATACCGTAAATAATTATAGCTTACGTGCATACACACCTGGTATATACAAACTTTACAATCATACTAAGCAAATGAATTGTCTCTGGTTAAAAAAAAAACAGTGATGTTACACTAAAACAGCAGTAACTGAGGTATCACATAAACATTTTTATTACAGGAATAGTTTCACCGAAGAAGGAACACTGGTTAGTTTATTCATCGTTTTGGTGCAGGAATAAAAACTGGTTCTCCATTCTGATACACTGCTTGTTTGGTGTACAAGTTGACCTCTGCAGGGAATTTCTTCCCAGCAATGGCTATCTCATACTTTGCTGACTTATCCAAAATAAAGTCATGCATGGCCTTGTGTAACACCCTCTTTCCTTCACTGTCATAGTCCGTGACAAAACCCAGACATGTCATTCGTTCCAATGTGTGGGCATAACCAGTGGATGTAATAGTACCACAATATTTGCCATTGCGATAGATTGGTTCCCCACCCCATGGCCACACATCAGTCTCATAATCAAAGTCATTTAAGAAGAACTGAGCAAATCTTTGGCTGATCCCATTCTCTCTCTGTTTCAGAAGGGCATCCTTTCCTATGAAATCCCCCTTCTGCAAAAAATTTACAATAATTGATGAATTGATTTTTTAAAAATTCTTTTTAACAGAATACACAATTGCAGGTTTCATCTCAAATATTGTGTACTAACAAAGTTTACAGTTTTACTTAATTTGGTGCAGGTATGGACAGCTCTTCTTTTTTTTATACATACCTCAAATGCTACCCTGAATTCTCTGCCACTCTCCAGTGGTGTGGTGTGAGTTGTGAGGTCAGACCCCCAATAAGCGTAGAATTTCTCTATTCGTAGCTCACGAAGTGCATAATACCCAGCATCACGAATCCCATAGTCTTTTCCTGCTTTCACCAAGGTTTCATACACATGTAAGCCATACTGAAAATAGATTTTAAAAGGTCCTGAATTACGAGCCTTTGCACAGTATAAATGTACTTGTATATCAAGCTTTACGGAAATTGTAGATAATTAATACCTCTGATGGAACGTAAAGCACAAAGCCATCCTCCCCTGAGTGAGTTAGCCTCATAGCAATAATATTGCTGGCAAAGCCAACATCTATCACCTACAGCAATAAAAATAAATACATTATTTAATATTTTTATTTTTCAAACTAGCTTTTTTGATTAACATTCTTATTCAGTCAGAGAAAAGAATTGTTCCACTAAAAAATCTTGAAAAAAAATATGTACACAAAGTTTCAGAAACTTTATCTAATAGTAAATTTAAAGACAGGGAGATTTGATGCTTACTTTAAGAAAAGCACAATGATTATTTTTCAAATTTCTCCATCAAAACCCTAGCGAAACTGCATCAGTGAATTCAATGAATGTTTTCAAGGAACAGCTCACCTTACAAGTCATCTGTTTGAATTCTTGTCTGGAAGTTTTGACCCCTGACACATCATTCAACAGCTGAGGAGCATGAGGACCAATCACATTGATCCCTGCATAGGCAGAAGTGACATCACGGATCTCCACAGAGCCATCTGCTGGCCGATGTTTCAGTAACCAGTTCAATGACCTTGTCTGTTGAGAAGTTGGTGAGATCATGAAGAACCTGATTCAAGTAAACAACACAAATTGTTGGAAATTTTTTCATGCTTAATTATCTTTTATTTTTTTACCATACCAAGAAGTAACCATTGGATTTAGAACCATTTGGGACAGAAAAAAATCACACATATACTTCTAAGATACCAGGTATTTGATCTAGTATGTGTAAACATGTTATATCTTACGTATTATTCTCCATAGGAACAATGGTGCAGTCATTTTCATACCCTCCAAATTTATTCTGCATTCCAGTGTGGATAATGGTGCCAATAGGCTGTTCAATGTTGTTTGAACTCAGGTACTGCAGAAATTGTAGTGCCTCTGGTCCTTTGGACTGTGAGATATTTAAAAAGCAAATTAAGTGATAAGTATAAATATATATAAAGAAGAATAATTAAACTGTCAAGAGTTCAAAAGATGAGCAAAAGTTCATAGCCTTTTAAATACATGTACATGTATGACTGTTCAATTCTCAAAAAATTTAGATACTGTAGATTAGAAAAATAACATCAATTTTCAATTTCACTATATTTAAAATTTATCATTTTTTGGCAGAATTAATCCAAAGTGTATAAGATTATCAGATCACACAATAAAGTTATCTTTCAAAAGACACCTACTGTGTAAAAATAAATCTATCACAAATTTTCCCCTTGTAACAAATTGTGAAAGTTTAACATAATGGAATCAAAACAACATACATTAAGAGGAAATATTCTTTTCTTTACATGTATATTATCATTTACATATACTTAATTTCACAAAACTGTTAAAAGACTAATTACTACACTAATAACACATGTAATATAACAAGAGGCCCATGGGCCACAGCGCTCACCTGAGTAACTTTGGCCTTGCTGTTTTTCACCTGATTTTTCTCACCCCCCCCTCCCGTAGTACTTATTGTGGCCCCGCCCTACCCCAAGGGGTCATGATTTGAACAATTAGAATCTACACTACCCCAGGATGCTTCCACATAAGTTTCAGCCTTTCTGGCCCAGTGGTTCTTGAGAAGAAGATTTTTAAAGATTTTTTCTGCATATTTCAATGTAAAACTTGGATTCCCTATTGTGGCCCCGCCCTACCCCCGGGGGTCTTGATTTGAACAATTTAGAATCTACACTACCCCAGGATGCTTCCACATAAGTTTCAGCTTCTCTGGCCCAGTGGTTCTTGAGAAGAAGATTTTTAAAGATTTTTACTATATATTTCAATGTAAAACTTGGATTCCCTTTTGTGGCCCCGCCCTACCCCGGGGTCATGATTTGAATAATTTAGAATCTACACTACCCCAGGATGCTTCCACATAAGTTTCAGCCTTTCTGGCCCAGTGGTTCTTGAGAAGAAGATTTTTAAAGATTTTTACTATATATTTCAATGTAAAACTTGGATTCCCTATTGTGGCCCCGCCCTAACCCCGGGGGTCATGATTTGAACAATTTAGAATCTACACTACCCCAGGATGCTTCCACATAAGTTTCAGCTTCTCTGGCCCAGTGGTTCTTGAGAAGAAGATTTTTAAAGATTTTTACTATATATTTCAATGTAAAACTTGGATTCCCTTTTGTGGCCCCGCCCTACCCCCGGGGGTCATGATTTGAATAATTTAGAATCTACACTACCCCAGGATGCTTCCATATAAGTTTCAGCCTTTCTGGCTCAGTGGTTCTTGGGAAGATTTTTTAATGACCCCACCGAATTTTTGTATTATCTTGATTATCTCCCCTTTGATGGGGACTTGGCCCTTCATTTTTACAATTTAAACTCCCCTTCATCCAAGGATGCTTTGTACCAAGTTTGGTTAAAATTGGCCCAGTGGTTCTTGAGAAGAAGTCAAAAATGTGAAAAGTTTACAGACGGACGGACAACGGGTGATCAGAAAAGCTCACTTGAGCTTTCAGCTCAGGTGAGCTAAAAAGACATTGTTGACCTTACCCGGACCTCTGTTTTGGTGAAAGATGACATGTCAATCAAACAGACATTTTCCTTACAAGCCCAGTACTCATCTCTCACATTGTCAAAGAAAGATGGCTGCGCAAAAGTTCTCCCTCCCTTCTCTATGTTGTACTGATCATGTAGGTAGTCATCTAAAAGTTAAAAGTTACACAAAATTTCAAGTTCTAATTAAATCTAAGTCTTATTACTTCATGCATTGTGTGCACTGTATTCTTACTTGAATTATTAAGTTATCAATATCTTTATAAAGATTTCTAAGTTTGATAAGTTAAACACTTCAATTTTTTACCATTTGAATTTGTGAACCACATGGGTCTCTCATAAGCATTGGTTTCTCCAAAGCAAGCACCTTGTACTTCAAGTCTTGTGTGTAATGGCGAGGTTCGGAGTTTTCTTCCTCTATAACGCTGCTCATTCGGGTATCTCAGAGTGTACATACCTGTTACAAGTATTGGTTTAAAATCATAATTATTGCAATGCTTGACACTTGGTCAAAGAAAAACATTTGAGGAAGCATAGACCCTTTTTTTTCAAATTTTTAACCATATAAGCTATCTGCATATTAAGCTGTTTTTTTTCCAGATGCTTATTGCACACACATATACTGTGATCCTCCCAGAAGAGGGAATTTTCAGGAATAAATTACTATTATTAAGTACAAATTACTGTCAAAAAATAAATAAATCAATTTATCAAAAGTAATATTTCCTGTTTTGTGACAAAAAATATGCAATCTTGTAATCTTGATGCAAAAGTTAAAATAATTCTCATGCTTTTTCCTCTTGATCAAAAGACTAGAAAATGTAGGAGCAGCAAACAGTCTAAAACACCACATTTTCTTTTCAAGTATCAAACTAGTATACTAATTTCAAATATACCGTATATACTCGCCTATAAGTCGGTCCGCCTATAAATCGGTTGTATTTTTTGAGGTTATTTTGGAGGAATTTGCCATTGACTTGCTTATAAGTCGATGTAACTTTTTGTCAGAATCAGTTGACAATTTCAAATGAATGCTCTAATGTTTTAACCTGGTTTCAATTAATTTTTTTTTAGAAATGATGCCGATATTTAATTTTAAATCATTAGGAAAAATACTAATGCACACATAGGAAAAAATAAAATTATTAAAATATGTAAATACTTGAACTTTATGTATAATCTTAGAATACGTAAATGATATTATATATATCCAGACTTTGTTCAACAATAATCCATGGAAATGTTTATAGAATACTACATTTCATTGTCAAGAAAAATACTAATCTTTTTATGACTCACCTATAAGTCGGACATAGAATTTTGGACCAAAATTTAACTCCCAAAAACCCGACTTATAGGCGAGTATATACAGTACATGTACATTAAACATGATTAAAAAAAATTGCATCACTTCAAAATGTATCACACATGTGGTCTTTAAACTTCCTGTAAAAACAAAATTACCCAGTGTTTCTTTGACCCTCTCTGCTAGGAATTTAGGATTGTTGTGATGGGGTACGTGTCTCAGGATATCGTGACTGGACAGGTCTATACTGGGCATTCCCTCCGTGATCCATTCTGTCAAGTACTTCCCGATCCCTCCTGATCCCGCTATTCCCATGGAACTCATCCCAGCAGCTACATAGTAATTTCTGATCTGGAAGTCATACAATAACTTCTGAAACTGCTTTTCTGAGGTACACATATACAAATGCATATTGAAGTAACAAGCATGAAGAATCATTGTAACATCACCAAGAAGTGATATTCTACAAATTTCTACAAACTTCACAAGTTATTGAGGATTTATAGAGATACATGCATATGCAGGCACCTTGAATCTAGATCAAAATTTGAAGATAATGTTTTGTTTTTGTTTTTTTTGCTGGAGTATTATTTGAGGTTTTCAGAAGTCCATGTAACAAGTATAGCAATGTCTTGGGTTTTAATTACCATTCCAAAAAAAAAACCAAAAAAAAAAAAAAACCTGCACATTGATGTGGTTTCAAAAGATGCCCATTGATGTGGTTTCAAAAGATATTCACAAAATTATACATCTTTCATGAACTAATTATATAACTTCAGTCATATATATATTGTATGCTCAGGAATCTTTACATTTATATAAAAATATCTGCCAAGATGTATCTATGTAATATTGAGCAGGATTTACATTTTACACCAGACAGATCCTCAGTAGACATTTTACACTATGTCTATATATAGACATGACATAACTGGTGTCATAGTGCCTGTTCACACCTCACTAGCAGCCCCAAGATTCCAGTGGCCATCAGGTGTAAAACTCTCTGGACCATTGAACATCTTATGGACATTTGCTTCTTCCATCACTGGCATGCGGTGAAGGATGGGATCCAAAAGTACCTCTGTAAAAAAAAGAAAAAAAGAGACTGATATTCATGAATATGTAGGTGTGCAGGACAAATTCTGAAGTACTTGGTACTGAGCACTTCCATTTAATATGATAAATGATTTATATCTAGGCAACTTACGGAAATGATCCCAGTCATCGGGTAGTAACCCAAACTGGAAATCCTTTGGAATTCCATTCAGGAATGCTGGTTTTGCCACAGGTTCGAATCCCCCTGCCAGAATCCCTCCACTCCACTCCCTGAAGTAGGTCAGGCCATCATAATCCCTCACCACTGAAAGGTAATTTGTAATCTGTGTAAATTCTGCTATTTATCTGTACATGTAGTTATAGTGCATGACAAGATAAGTGAATTGATAACAGAAGTGAGATTTCTATATGCTGATTAATTCTATACCTGGCATCATGGGATCCATTCCTTCTATAGGTTTTGTTGTGATGTAGAAATGCTCACAGGGATGAAGAGGGACTTTGACTTCGGGTTTAGATTTTTTCCCAAGACTATGGGCCCACTAGTAAAATATTCATACTTGGACATAATCATTACCATCCTAACATAATCTTAACACTCAGACAAAAGATTCCAGGACTCCTGATTTTCATCTTCATGACCACCATCTTAGACCTGTACCATGTATACTCACCATTCCCCCACAGTTGACAAAGTATTCACAGTCAATTTTTCCAGCAGAGGTTTCCACATGGGAGACAACTCTTTTATTTGCCACAACCTTATCTACAGCTACCCTCTCAAATACCTTCACACCTTAAAATTCAAACATTAACTCCATTAAACAAACCGTTACCAAATACGTATTTTTGTTCATTATGATTTTTCATTGAATAACTAGCATTTAATAAGAGATTCAAATAGATTTTTTTGGTTTCATTGGCAAGAGACATGTATATTGCTAATTCCCTGCATAGTAAATAATCTGCTGATCGATTTATAGGTTTGTGTCTTAAGGATATATAGCTTCAGCAGCAAATAATGATGAAATTGATTGATTGAACAACACTAATGAGAACTTAAGATAATCTCACCCATTTCTTTTGCAACAGAAGCATAGGTTAGGGCTAAATCTGGGGCAGTAAGAGCCCCATCCTCTGGTATCCATAAAGCCCCCTGTATCAAAATGTGCAAATATAATTTTACTTTCAATCAATTAAATTTTCATTCTAATTCAAATAAATAAGAAATCTTGAAATGACAAACATCCAACAAGAGTCCAAATTTAATTTATAAATTAAATTCTCAAAGTAATACCGGTATGCCAAAATAACTGTTACCTCTAAGTCATCAATTCTGATTAAAGGACAAATTTTCTTGGCCTCTTGGGGTGTAATAATGTGACTTTCATTCCCAGCAGCTCTGCAAAGGGTTAAATCTTTGACAGTTCCATTTCAGGTAATTAGTTAATATCACTTGATGAGATATACATGAAAATATCAAACAATATCATACCCTTAACAGCAAATTTATTGTCAAAATTACATCTGTTCCCAAATTCCAAAATTTCACTGAGATGATAAATATGAATCAAAAAGGCTACTGTTGAGGAAAACAAACTTACATAGCAATCTGACTCCTCCGCTGAAGATAAATCAGTCGGTCTTTAGACTGGGCTAACATTAAACTACCACACTGCTTAAAACCTACACCAAAATAATGTCTTCATGTTCACACATTGCTCAATTTTTTTGTGTCTACTTACAATCTGGTACAAAATAATCATGCATTATGAGAGGGAACAGATTAACAGGACTGGTAGATTTGCATACTGAGATTGTGTCCCTCTGCCTCCAGTTCTTGGTACAGTTTTCTGCCATACCGCATGAGTTTAGAGGTGGACACATCCTGTCTGGCCTGTGAGATCAGTCCAGCTGAATGCCATGTGGTTCCTCCAGTCAACCTAAATCAAACTTGTAAGTTCTGAATTGCACTCACAATTTCACCCAGATGATTTATCCTGATATTTTTTTATTTCTTTGTTTTCACTCATCTCTCCTTCAACCAGTATCTTCTGAATCAATGCAAATAAATAAAATACTTCTTTCTACTTCACTTAAATGAATTAATTTTAAATAAATTTTTATGTTACTTTTATGAAAACCTTGAATACTCAACATTGTACAGGCATCGTAAGACACACCAAGATCAAAAGTATAAAACAAGAAGTAAGAGCTTACTGTCCCTGTTCTAGCAGCACCACGTCTGTCCATCCTGCCTTGGCCAAGTGATATGCAACTGATGTTCCAATCACACCCCCTCCACAAATGACAACCCTGGCACTAGAGGGTAGAGCTGGGGGTGGGTCCAAGGTTGTCTCTGAGTAACACCTCCTATCTTTTCCCCCTAAAACTGTCTGAAATCTGTTCTGTCCCCCATAGGTGCAAATGCCCTGAGAAAGCAGAGTCCTCCTGCCCAAAGACAGGGTCCTCACACATTGCAACACTGACATAATTTTAATCCCCTAATGGCTCTTTGAGCTTCCTGTGCTTTTTTCTCACCTGTTGCACAGGTAAGTCTAATTAATTATTATCACAGGTAAGAAAGATAAAGCTCATATCTGTCTGTCTCTGTTTTGGACATTCAAATGTCAACACTGATGTTCTAGATATCTCTGGGATGTGTTTGTTTTAGGGACTATTTCTATGACGTTGCTGTTAAAGATAGGAGACATATTCTGCAAAATAGACACAGGTTAAAAGTAAGAACTAATGTACAGTGTATACAAGTAGGGCAAAATGTTAAACAAGGTGAATCCTATCAGCAAGCTGGACCAGTTAATATCTAGGTACTCTGCATAACTACAAAAGAATTTGAAGTACTCTCTCAGGTTAAATACTGTGCACATAGTCATTTAAATGTCATTTACTAGCAAGCTTTAAATTCATTTTAATTCAGCCAAATACATTTGAACTTCATAAATATACATCCATACCTTTACAACAGTGTTGCACATGTGCTGATAATTTTTTTTTGTTTTTTGTTTGTAAATTTGCATGCATATATTTTGTGCTCCATCTATTTTGCATAAATTTTTTGCAAATTTAAGGAGTTAGAAGTCACTTTATTTAAAGTGTTTTTGCAATGCAAGGAACTTTATGGTAATTTTTTCCAACTCTATTCTGACCAATTTTGATATGACCTCATATACAAATACTGTTTCATACCATGCAACGCTTAAACATACCTGGTACATATGCTTGTTTAACTCATTTTAATGGGTCAAGGTTATTACAAACACATTTTAGGGATAAGCTTATTTAATCAGAGTCTGATAAGAATTTTCATCTGTCTAGTTTATATCATACACTTGATCAATTAATGTAAGATTGCAAACTCTTTGTTTTAGTTTCTACAACCTTCAATCAACTTTTACAGGCTAGTCAATCAAATTGTGTATGGTGATTTTTTTTATGATTCTTTTTTCCAAGTTTGTTACATGCTTTCAAGATCCAGAAAAAAAAACATTCAAGTTAATTCAGAGAAGTTGTGTCCCCCGTTTAAGGAAAAAAGAAGAGGGTGGAAGAACTGGAAAAAATTTTGCAGATGGAGAAAGACAAAAAGTCAACCTTGACCTTTCAGCTTTTGGCCTTTAAGTCAATAGGAGTCTTTTTTAAGTTCAAGAAATTCATGAACAAAAGTGTCATTGCAAAAGCTATCAGAAAAACTAAAATTATAATCTGAAAACTATATGTGCAATATATATTTCTGACCTTGAGTTTTGACCTCAAGATCAATATAGGTTTTTTTAAGGCCATGGGGAGTTCTGATATAAAATTTCATTTCAAAATCTCAAAGGCTTTTTAAGATATAGTTTGGAAAAAAGTGTTACAAAGACAGAATGTATGAATTTATGACTTTGACCTTTTGACCTTAAAATCGATAGGGGTCTTCTTTAAGCCAATGGGAGTTTCTGGTATAAAACTTCATTGCAAAAGCTCAAAGGCTACTTGAGATATTATCCGGAAATGAAAGTGTTACACACAAGCAGAATGTATTAATTTATTACCTTGATCTTTGACCTTTCAACCTCAAAATCAAGTGGATCTTTTTTAGGCCATAAGGAGTTGTTGTATAAAATTTCATTGCAAAAGCTCAAAGGCATCTTGAGATATTGTCTAGAAACATAAGTGTTACAGGGTCAAGTGCAGTATACGGTATTGTAGTTCCTGCGGATTTTCAGTTTTAACAAAATGAGTAAATAGTCCTCATATCTACCCTATTAAAGTAATGAATATTTATTGTAGTTACATATTTATTCATAACATTTACATAATATACATATTCATTAAATTTTGAATTAACAATAAATATGGGGAAACAGGTCGACAGGTAAGCAGGTCAACAGGTCAGCAGGTCGACATGTATAGATATTCACCACAAATATTCAATTAAACTTGACCCGTTCAAACTTGTTAAATTTCGTTATTTAAATTCTTACTATGGTATCAAAGTTATTTAGATTTAAGGATATCGCATATCATAAATCAAATTAATTTAAGGATACACCAAAGGCTTTTTTCAAGATTTTCAACAATTTTGAGATTTTTGGCTAAGAAAAAGAAGTTAATCACTGCTTTATAATGCATGTAAAATTCTTGGTAATTATGAAATGGTTTTCTAATTATTTAACAATAATGAAACATAAACACTACCACATGGGAATATTCCGTTATTGAAGCTTCTGATTTGATCTGTGACTGCCTGCTCATGAAAGACGCAATAAATCACTGTGGCCACTTGGGGAATTCTTCACTAGCCACACAGAGGTTATCAGTAATTAAACTACAGGGACTCTAGATTTAGAGAAAGAGATCTAACAGATCACTGATGACCATAAAATAGGAGGTGGAGCTTAGCTCTTGCCATTTTGCCGGGAAATCTTTCAGATTCAGAATTTAACCTATTTTACTTAATTGAAAGCATCAAAATACAGAAAAGAACCTCCCATTCTTGTGAATATGCATAGGAAATATGGCTAAGTGACAGGTATCCAAAGCTGAATCTCCAAGGTGTCATATATTCCTAGCTTTGGCAGATTTTGTTGTGTAATGGGTTTTTGCCCTCTACTGTAAAGTAAGATCATACAGTTTGTGGTATTATTTCAAAGGATTCAGCTCCCTTATTTATTGACCAATTTCTCTGAAAATTGGATGGGTTGCTTCTCAAATGTGTGTTCACAAAACCGTATCTCAGATTTTTGATATCTAGCTTAGTTTTGGAATTATTGAGGGAAATGTTAAATTAGGCCAATAAATTGGTAACATTGAAGTGCAAATGGCTGTAACTTTTGAATTAGAAGATCTATCAAAAATCTGAGATACGGTTTTTAAGTTCAATCTTTAATCTATCTTGAGGCAAAATGACCACTTTGAGGGGTTAAATACAAAAAAGTTGATTTATAAAATATTTATGCACTAAAATTTACATTAATATTTAAATAATTTTTAAATAATTTATTAATTAAAGTTTTAATTAGGATAATTAAATAGTGAATTTAACAAGCTTTCAAATGATATATACTTTTATTATGTTATCTTTGATAATGAAAGAATTACATGCAAATTAAATTCTGGCATTTGGAAACCTTTGGTGTATCCTTAAGTTGATATATTAATATACAACTGAAAGTTTAAATATATTTTTACCAAAATACCACTGTTTCATTTGCATACTTGCTGGCTATTCCCGTGTCTGCCTAATAAAATTACATTGACCTGCTGATTTGTCGACCTGCTTACATGTTCACCTGCTTACCTGTCGACCTGTACACATGTTTATTAGCTAATATGCTTACCTGTAGACCTGCTGACCTGTCGAGCTGCTAACCTGTCGACTTGCTGACCTGTCGACCTGCTGACCTGTCGACCCGCTGACTTGTTGACCTGTGCACATTTATTCACTAACCTGCTTACCTGTCGACTTGCTGACCTGTCGACCTGCTGACCTGTCGACCCGCTGACTTGTTGACCTGTGCACATTTATTCACTAACCTGCTTACCTGTCGACCTGCTTACCTGTCGACCTGTACACATGCTCATTTGCTAACTTGCTTATCTATCAATCTGTCAACCTGTACATGTTTATTTGCTAACCTGCTGACCTGTCGACCTGCTGACCTGTCGACCTACTGACCTGTCGACCTACTGACCTGTCTACTGTACACAAATTCATTAGCTTGCCTGCAATTCCCTCGACCTGTATTTTAAACTTTCAATAACAGTTACTGCTTATCTCTTTCACATTGATTTAATTTATTGTTTTAGTTAATACAAATTATTATTCAAATAATTTAAAAAATGAATACAAATTAACGTCACATTTTTAAATAAATGCGCCATGTTCCCCGGAACTACTTAAACGTATAGTATACTTGGGCCGTGTTACACACAAACAGAATATAAGAATTTATTACCTTGAACTTTGACCTTTTGACCTCAAAATCAATAGAAGTCTACTTTAGACCATAGGGAGTTGTGGTATTAAATTTCATTACAAAAGCTCAAAGGCTTCTTGAGATATTGTCCAGAAACGTACAATGCAACATTTCTATAAATTGTTCATTATTTCTTTGAATGTTTGGCCCATTATGAATGACTTGCTTGTTTACTATCCAATCAGAATAATGATGACAGAAATTGATAAATCAATATGTCACTTTCTACCAGAAGATAACTCTGCCAAAGTTTTCTAGGATACCTTGAACAGTTACTTCCCTTTTAAAAACTAGGCCCATAGCAGAAACATCACCATTGTGTAAAAATCTTGAACACTTTTGTCATAGCGCTGTATGTAGGTAAAAGTATCTATATTCACAAATATGTTTTTTCATAAATAGAGAAATATTAGAAAGTATTTGACTACTCATATTTGAATTATGATCTATTAAAAAAGCATCCCAATTTCAAGATACTGTAAACCAACATTTATTTGCGAGCAAGAAATATTTGAGACCTTCTTTGGCTTGCGAATATTTCTTGTTGCAAACCAATCATTCAGCTAAATATTTTAAAATATGTAGAATGTTGTCCTGATTGCGATAATTAGTACTCGCAGATGGAATCCAAACTAGAAAATTGCGAAATAAAAGATTCGCGAATAATAATGGGTTTACAGTAACAAAATGAAAGTGTAACATACATGTACAGTCAGAATGACAGACAGACAGAGAGAGAGATGGATGGATGGACCCAAATTAATAAAATAAAGAGATCACACAACAGACTTGCAATGTCTTTTGAACAATTAACTATTACAAGCTAAACAAAAACACAGGATTTATATTTGTAGGATCTGTAAATATTCTCTTCTAAGATACTGAATGACGAACCACAGGACTTCATTTTCATACATGTACGCATATATCCTATTATACCATAGGACTGGCGGTAAATTTAGATTTTGCTTTCATGTTGCTGTGGTGTATTTGCCAGAAGAATCACAGTTTTTTTTAAGTCACGCCCACCTTTTGGCATCAAGCCATACTGTGTCAAGACCTTGACTAATGAATGAATGAATGATGTCAATTTCAAGACCAAGGCAATGGCTGATGAATGAATTAAGTCAACATTTTAAATTTCAAAAACTAACATTATTTAGCTTGTCGGTGTCCGCTTCATAAATGGTTCTGTATGTTTTCTCCGCGTATCCTTAATCAGTAAATGATACGTCCTATCTCGAATTCTCGTCATTTTCTTTCCCGTCTCCAAATACATATAGCAATTTCACATCAGAAGTCCCCGCATTTTTTTTACTTCCAATACCATTTCAAACTTTCATTAAAATGTCACAAATCATTTCATTTTTTTCTGTACGCCGATTGCCATCAAGAAAAAGTTCTATGCCGATGTTTCCCATATCCATACCCCCTTTTTAAAAAAAAAAAGGATCTAGAAAGATAACTTTTCTTTCAGAGTTGACGGCTTGAACATAAAAGCCTACAATCGCTACCCCTATACCTGTACCTGACAAAAATCATGTTTTCTGCATCTTCAACATTTCAAAGGTACAATATCTTCACACGTACCAATTCCGATTTTTTTATCAACAACTTGTAGTAGCAGTACCGCAGTAAAGTATGATCCTTGCAGATGGAGACAGCTATTTACACAGACTCCGGACCGTGTCTTGACACCTCATAGTAGGCGGTGCTATTTATCAACTCGCTTTTCTCTCATTGGTCCTCTGCTACAAGTAACTTACACAATAGATATTAATTGGTTAGCTGTAAATACACTCAGAGTTTTTATTCACTCGGGGCTCCGCCCCTCGTGAATGAAAAACTGTGAGTGTATTTACAGCTAACCAATTAATATCTATAGTGTAACTATAACTTAGTTTGCAAGGAATCAGGATTCACTGCAGTATATGAAAATTAAACTGTTCAATGCTTTGCCGATTTATCTGTCTCTATTGAAGTATGAATAGCACAACAAAATACTATCATGCTTAAGTTAACATGTAAACAAACTTAAGAACAAGATACAAAACGCAGCTTTATCACCTTTGTCCTCCACTGCAGTTTCTAGTGTTTACTCCCTATGCCATCTTTACCAACTGCTATTTCAAAACGCACGAATGATCGAGCCAGAGACACTGGAGAAGTTATTATATTTTTAAGAAAAAATAACCCATAGTGAGATGCCATACGGAGTCAAAAGAGTCATACAGGCAAAATTCAAGCAGTTATAAATTTAATTAAGAACATTTATTCTCCTGCTTATACTCAATGATGAATATGATAATTACTTTTTATTTCAATTTTTGTCGACACACATTGACATCTCCCTATGCAAGATGGCTGCGTCCATCAAAAAGTCCACACTGAAAGAAAATCTGAAAATAAACACTTTTAACATCGACAATGAAGAAAAAATAAAATGGATATCAGGTCTCAGTTATATGAAACATTCCGTGAGTAGCTTGAAAACTTCTACCAGATAACGGTAATCATATTTATAATATCCCATGGAAGGCTTGCTTGCACATGCAGATCTAGTCCGAAATATCTGACGTTTTCCAGGCTTTTTTCACGATTTTGATATTTTACGTGCCAGGAAAACGTCAGAACCGGCGCCATTACGAAAACTGGAAATTCGCCGCCTCCAACTGGAGGCGGCATTCTCGGGTTGATTTTCGATACTTGCGAACCGAATTAAATGCTGAATTCACAACTCATTAAGAGTACAATACCTTTAGTACTCACCACCATCGTTTTTATGGTTTGTTTATGAAATATACAGTCTGGTGAAAACATTTTATCACACGGTCGAGTTTTCTTTTCATTTCTTGCTTTTTAAAATCTTGCAGAACCTGTATCGAAATGTTGGGTGTATTTTTTTTTCATCGATATTGGTGAGTACTAGAAGCATTGTGCTGGAAATTTCACCCTCTCCAACCGGAGCTGATTTTCGATACTTGCGAACTGAATTAAATGCCGAACTTACAATTTATTAGTAGCACAATGCTTCTAGTACTCACCAATATCGATGAAAAGAAAATACACCCAACATTTCGATACAGGTTTTGCAAGATTTTAAAATGCAAGAAATGAAAAGAAAACTCGACCGTCTGATAAAATGTTTTCACCAGACTGTATATTTCATAAACAAACCATAAAAACGATGGTGGTGAGTACTAAAGGTATTGTACTCTTAATGAGTTGTGAATTCAGCATTTAATTCGGTTCGCAAGTCGAAAATCAACCCGAGAATGCCGCCTCCAGTTGGAGGCGGCGAATTTCCAGTTTTCGTAATGGCGCCGGTTCTGACGTTTTCCTGGCACATAAAATATCAAAATCGTGAAAAAAGCCTGGAAAACGTCAGATATTTCGGACTAATGCAGATCACCTTGCACTAAACTCTGTGGCGCACCTAAACCAGAATCCCCAATATACTGTGCACGAGAAAAGAACTTCCAGTAAATATGGTAAACGCCCAAACTGTTAGATGAAGATATATTGCCCAAGAGCAATAGAAATACGATGAACAGGGATCGATCAACAAAATAGTTTTTTAAACATTTAGAAAATGATATTGTACAAAGGTGTAATCATTGAGCCTATCCATCTCATTTTCAACATAAGGTACCTTGCATTTACAATAGGAAATGTATTTTAAGATAATGAAGTACTGATGAACAGAAATCACGACTGTTCACTTATATGAGCAGATGAGGTACGTAAATTTAATACATATTTATAAAGTGTTCAATTTAAAATTTATTTTGGCTGGTTAAAATGTTAAAAATGCTTGAATTGATTACAAATTGAGTAAAACAATGCAGATTTCAATTTCCTTTATTTTAGTTCTTGGGGCAGATTACTCCAACTGCATAAAAATACCACAGAATCAGAGCTCTTTAGTGTGCAGTTAAGAGAGGGTTCTTTAAGTAGATCTATTTAATTGCCTGTACTTGCCAGTGCTAATACACTCCCATTTGTTAGTATCACCATATATACAGACTTAAACAAAATAATATTGCTTGAGCACATTACATAAGCCTCTCTTTTGTTCATCTTTCAAGAACAATTACTGTATACAGGGAAAATTTCGCTTCTGTTTTATTTTCGCCCCTTTTTCGCCCTTGACACAAGTGGGTGAATTTAAGATGGTAGAATTCAAAGAAGACTTTATAATTTCTTAAACTGAAAAGTGATGACTTGGCTAATTTAAAATGGGGCAAGAGTGAAATGGCAAAAATAAAACAGGGGAAAATAACCCTGTATTCAGTAAAATCCAAAAATAAGGTATTTTTGTCTCATTAGGTCACCTGAGCCAATCAGGTGACCTATTGCCGTCTGTTTTTGTCCATCGTTGTCCATTGTGCCTTAACATCTGAGCATTTTCAGCTTCTTCTCTGGAACTGCTGAACCAATTTCAACCAGTTCTGGCATATTGCACCTGTAAGTGAAGGGAACTGCTGAACCAATTTCAACCAGTTCTGGCATATTGCACCTGTAAGTGAAGGGGAAGAAAAATTTTGAATTTTAGCCCCCCCCCCCCCCCCCCCCCATGAGGATTCAGATACCAAAGTTTACTTATACTGATATAAGCATATTGTCTTACAATTAAGTGTTATTTATTTATTTTGTTTTATTTTTTTGGCATAATGGCATTACAGATTGGTGTTACCATCACACACCTGGAGACATTTCCATCAAACATCATAGAAATTTGTGAGGATGAGTTATCTTATATTGTTTACAATCTCCCAGTGCATGAACTTATCAATCCTGATCTTCTTGGAGCTTTCCAGCAGAAAGGTATCTGAATATACCAACTAGATATTTATAACACATCTAGGTTGTCTGTGTATGAAAAAGGCATGCTTTGTGGGGTCTTTTTATTTTTTAAATTTTTTTTTGTATATATTATCCTGGTTACCCGGTAATATGATTTTTTATGAGACTTTTTGTACTAAATATAAACATGCATACATAGACATACTTTGTGTAGCATACTTTGTGAATAGTTTACTCTCTTGCAATGTGATTTTGAATATAAAAACTAGCTGGTCATGTGTTTGAAAATCATGCAAGATAATGTAACGAGTTTTGACATCTGTTAAATATTACAGGGTCTCTGTGTATGCTGTCTTTTGGCACCAGACTAGAGGTTAATGACTGTGTGGCATTTTTACCTACAGGTATGTCATATACTTTAATTTATATAGACAGGTATGTCATATATTTATATAGACAGGTATGTCATATAATTATACAGACATTATACAGACAGGTATGTCATATATTTATATAGACAGGTATGTCATATATTTATATGAACAGGTATGTCATATATTTATATAGACAGGTATGTCATATATTTATATAGACAGGTATGTCATATATTTATATAAACAGGTATGTGATATATTTATATAAACAGCTATGTCATATAATTATGCAGACATTATACAGACAGGTATGTCATATATTTACATAGACAGGTATGTCATATACTAGTATCTATATAGACATGTATGTCATATATTTATACAGACAGCTATGTCATATATTTATACAGATAGGTATGTCATATAGCTATATATATGACAGTATGTCATGTATCTGTTTACTTTTAATACTTTTATTTGTTTCATGGTAAGATTGAAATTTTCTCACTTGTATATGTATGATTATGTATGATTATTCTTAAAGGAGATGGGCGAACATAGCGTGCAGAAAGCCTATAGCTTCAGAAATATAAAAATCATGTTCAATTTGTGAATTTAATATTTAGAGTAAAGTTCTCATTATTGAAATTTATGTAACTGTGATAAACAAAACTTTTCTGAGGAAAATTTTCTCGGCAAAATTTATTCTTTTATTAAAAAAATTAATGTGATATTCGTGGGGTTCGAACCCTAGCAATAAAAATCCTGAGAATCATTTTCTTTCGAGACTAGCACGCTAACCACTAGACTACACAAGTCCTGACAAACAGTGTCATTTAAATCATGTTTGTGATATGACCCTTGACTTAATGGACTTCAAGTATTTCTCGAAAAGATGCGAAAGTTATGTCATAAAAGTATATTTTTAAGGTATAGTGGGTCATTGCTCCATATTTTTGGTAAGCAAAAAATGTATATTTTTATGCAAACTTTGAGGATTAACTTTCAAAACGGTGGAGCGAAGACCCACTCATATCGAAAAATAGTGTTATAGTATGCGAAAATGACTCTTTTTGCCCACTTTGGTGTGTGTCTAATATTTCACAGGCAAATAATTTCAAACTTTGAGGGATTTTTGCAAATTGTAGAGATTTTACATAAAGTATATTTTAATGTTAGACGAAATATCAAGGAAAATTTTGATATAATAGAAATTTAATTTTTCATCTTCATGTTTGTCACACTATAGGCTTATCGCTCGTCATGTTCACCCATCTCCTTATATTCCTTTTTTCTCAAATTTTGTAGGGCATTTAATTCTTCACCTCAGAAAAGATTTATACACAAGACTAGGTCTAGAAGGAAAGCCATCTCAATATAACAAATATGGAGGAGAAAAATATGGTAATTATTGTATCCAGAAAATTGAACAATTTTTTTCCTGGATGTAGTATAAATACTTGTAAAATGCAGAGATATTAGTTTTCCATGTCTAACAAGAGAAAGTTTAGTTTTTGAAACAATAAACATTTCAAGCTTTGAAAAAGAAGTTTTTATGGCTACACAGCTCTGTTATTTCTTTGAATCATTGCAAAACATATACAATAATCTTTTGCTATATTTTTCTTCATACAGTGGGTCAATTGTGTTCTTATATTTTCAGTGGTAGAAATTGATGTTGGATCAACAGTTTTTACACCAGGAAAGAAAAATTATGAAAAGGTCCGGCAATGTCTGTTGCGTGTCAATATGCAGTGTGATTTCTTGGTGACATGGACACCACAAGGTATACATTTATGATATACATGTATGTAGATGTGATGATTTTAGCATAACTAAAATTGAACACATTCATAGGAAGGTCATGTTACTCTATTGTTTGGGGAAAGCATGAATAGGTAAAATAAGTATTACTCTTATACAAAAAAATCATGAAAAGGGGCAAAAATATGAATCCTGCTAAAATATTACACTGCAGTGTAGGGTGCCATACCTGCATTACAAATACACTGACATATGTAAAGAATGAATTTAAAAATTATCCAGTTTTACAAGTATAACCTGGGTTGGGGCAGATTACACTTTATAAACTGGGAATTGGTGTATAAAAAAGCATAACCCAGGTTATTGGAGTATAATTTGGGGAACTTTTAGATTCATTCCTTATTAATTTTCTAACATTAAGTGAAAAGACAGTTTGTCTTCAAAAATGGCATTTATAAGCGAATTTAAAGATAATGATAAAGATAATCAGCTGGATTTATATGTTTTTGATGCATGTCATATTGTGATATAGCAATGCAAGTTTTATGATATATACTACAGTTAAACTTCTGCATCTCAAACACTGATATCTTGAATAACATGGATATGTTGAACTGATCTGGAAGTCCCAAACACTTATTCTTTATGTATTTTACCCTGATATCTCAAATCCTCGGATATCTCGAAGTTTTTTCTCTGTCCCATCGAGTTTGAGATAACAAGGTTTGACTGTAATTTTTTATCCAATCAAATAGTGCATTACAACCAGAATTAATTAATTAGTATTATTAGCTTATTCTAATAAGAACTTATTAAAATAGTACCCCTCTTTCCCATAAAATTGAAATCACTTTGGGCATCACATTTAACCTCCTGGACCAAAATAATCCTCAAATACATATAATTACTAATATAGTATGGAGCTTACAATATAATTTTTAGGTATCCATTTTATAATACAGGATTAGATAAATTGCACTGTACATATACAATGTACTTCCCATATATTATACAAGGGCTTTGTTATTATGAAAAATAAAACAAAACTAAAGTTTTCATGAATAAAATGTGATTTACAGAATCTAGATGAGTAACTAACAGTTAAGATGAAACTGTCTAAGTTATATACTGAATAACACTAAAAAGACTTGTAATTGTCAAATCAAGAGAAAATGAATTGGCAAATGGATTGTATATGAAGACATTTTACATGTATTTTAGCAAAAAAAAAAAAAAAAAAATAAAAGTAAGGGTTTTTATTAGGTCACCTGAGTCACTCAGGTGACCTATTGCTATCCGTTCTCGTCCGTCGGCGTGCGTCGTGTGTTAACATTTGAACATTTTTAGCTTCTTCTCTGAAACCGCTCAACCAATTTCAACCAAATTCGGCAAATAGCATCTATGGGTGAAGGGGAACAAAAATTTTGAATTTCATGGTCCCTGCCCCCCTGGGGCCTGAGGGGTGGGGCTAAAACCACCAAAAATAATGCAATCTTTAAAAATCTTCTTCTTTACTCCAGGACATCAAGCAGTCAAACTGTTGGCATCTTTGTAACAAACATTGAGCCCTCTACCAAAATTGTGAAATTCATGGCCCCAGGGTCAGGGGTTCTGGCCCCAAGGTGGGGCTATATACATCATATAGTGAAAGTGCATTATTTCTTTGAAAATCTTCTTCTCTGCTCCTGGGTATTAAATAAAGTAACTAAGTACATAGTTATGATGAGCAAGAGTGCCTCTTCCAAAAATGTAAAATTCATGGCCCCAGGGTCAGGGGTTCTGGTGTAAGGGCAGGGCTCTATTGATTATATAATGAAAATGCATTAATTCTCTGAAAATCTTCTCCTCTGCTCCTGGGCATTAAGGTGATAAACTAAGTACATAGTTATGATGAGGAGGTGGGCCTCTTCCAGAATTGTGAAAGCCATCGCCCCTGGGTCAGGGATTCTGATGTTAGGGCGGGGCTCTATTGATTATATAGTGAAAATGCATTAATTCTCTGAAAATCTTCTTCTCTGCTCCTGGGTATTATTTAAACAAACAAAGAGCATGGTTATGATGCATAAGGTTGCCTTTTCAAAAATTGTGAATTTCATGGTCCCAGGGTCAGGGGTTCTGGTGTTAGGGTGGGCTCTATTGATTATGTAGTGAAAATGCATTGATTCTTTGAAAATCTTCTTCTCTGCTACTGGAGATTATTTAAACAAACTAAGTGCATGATTATGATAGGCAAGGATGCCTCTTCCAAAATTTTTAAATATATGGCCTCAGTTTTTGGGGTTCTTGAGGAAGGGGAGAGGGGGCTCTATTGATTATACAGTGAAAAAGCATTAATACTATTAATTAATCAGTAATTAATCCTGTCTGCTCCTTAGCATTGAGCTGATAAATAAATTGCTTAGCTATGATGAAAATGGGAGCTCCGAACAGAATTTTTAAATCTTGTGGTCCTAGGGTCAGGAGTTCTGGCATAATGGGGGGGGGGGGGCTTTTGATAATATAGTGGAAAAGTGTTAATACTTCGAAGTCCATAGTTATGATGATGAGGGTAACTCTTCCAAATTTGTAAATTTCTTGACCCTTGGTCTTGGGTTCTGGTGTTAGGGTAAGGCTTTGTTGAATCTGTAGTGAAAATGCATTGTACCTGTGAAATTCTTCTCTGCTTCTGGGCATATCGGAAGAAAACAGAGTAAAAGTTTAAATGATATAAGTAAGCGTATTTCTACCAGATTTTTGAACATCTGGACAATTTGTCTAAGCATTCTAGTCCTGGGCAGGGCTCTATTAATTTGTATTCTACTGAGAGAAGTTATTCCCCTTTTCCGTTCACCTTTGATAATTAATCACTGTAAATAATGTATTTGAAAGGTTAATAGAATAAGATAGTTATGCAAGAATGTTTATCATATAATTCAAAAAGTATTTTCTTAGTTTTAATAATCAGGTAGACCTGTAAGTAATAGATAAATAAAAATGAGACAAAAATAACTTATCTTATTAAAAGTTCTTCAAAGACCGTAAGAGAGGTCAATGCTAGAGGTCTTAATATGGGTTTAAAAATAGTACAGAAGCACTAATAGTTTGTTAATAGTCTGCATGGTGATAATGTTAAGTGGGGGACAGATTAGAACTTAATTTATGAGTTGACACTGAATACTAGACTAATTATTTTGTTGATCCTGATCTTCCTACTTCTCTTGCTTTAGGGCAACAAAGCTTCAACTATCAGTGTATTTAACTTCTAAATTGTTGTATTATACTCAGGTGACCGTTAAGGCCCATGGGCCTCTTGTTTTGAGCGTGGTGCTTCTCGCAAAATTGTGACATAATGAATTTCTCACATATTTAGGAATTTACAGCATTATTAAAGAGCAAAATAATTTTTGGGAACATTGACTTTAAACATGTTAAATGAGATATAGTTTTCTCATAGATCTTTAGTATATCAAACTGGATTACTAGTATGTAGATTTGAAAAGTTAAAGAAAACTTTCCTTATGTACATTTAACTATCATTTGCAAAATTTCAGATGAAAATTTGTGTGCCAGTTCCATTCACAAGTATTTCAGGATAAAAGATTTTAATTGTGTCCATTTGCCTGTTTCATCAAAAACTCACAAATACACAGATGTTGATATACCTGATCTGCAGCATCAGGATGTAGATAATCATACTCAAGAAGAGCTATATGATTGGCTTGGAGGTGTAGCCAATCAAATTTCACTGTAAGTCACATTTTTAGCTCACCTGAGCTTAAAGCTCAAGTGAGCTTTTCTGATCACATTTTTTCTGTCATTCATCTGTCCATCCCTCTGTAAACTTTTCACATTTTTAGCTTCTTTTCAAGAATCACTAGGTCAGGATGGGGCCACAATAGGTGATCAAAGTAATTTTAAGTTTTATATAGGAATATACAGGAAAAAATCTTTCAAAATCTAATTCTCAAGAACCACTTTTCCAATAGAGTTGAAACTTATGTAGATGACCAAATTTTCGCAACACCTTGTCATCGCAAGAAAGTTATAAGGTTTTTTATAAGTGAGACAAAATTTTCACAAATTCTGGTTTTTGATGTATGTAATCTTAATATACAAAAAAATACAGTAAAACACAATTATAATGAATTGATGCTTACAGAGTTGTGATTTTCATTCCCCTTGGCTTTAAAATATACCATAAACTTAATGGATATAATGAATTATGGCTCTTTGTTATAAGTATGTTTTACTGTATATGCATGAACATTAGACATACTGATATGGAAGTATCCTCAGGTAGTGTAGATTCAAGTTTGTTCAAATCATAAACCCTGAGGAAGGTCGGGGCCACAGTGGACAATCAAAATTTAACATAGGAATATATAGGGGAAAAAAATCAGCTGATGAAGAACAGCAGGGCTATAGTGACTCAAGTGAGCACTGTGGCCCATGGGCCTCTGGTTATGTTCAAAAGTTTTCATCAGACATTTAAAACATTATGCAGATTTTGTTTTTTCAGTGAATATTGATGCAGATTTTTATGCCCCGGATCGAAAGATCCTGGGGATATATTGTTTTTGTCCTGTCTGTCTGTTTGTCTGTTGTCAACTTTAACCTAGCCCATAACTATTGCGCTGTCAAGGCTAAAGGCCGGTTTACACGGTAATACATGTCGTATACAACTTGTCGTATACAACTTTTGTAATATATTCCTCACTTGTCTACATGGTCAAACAGATTTACATTCCACTCTATTGTTATTTAAACAAACGAAACGCCCCTTTAAAGAAGTACGTTTTTTTTTTTTATTTTGTCAACATGGAAGCACAGGAAGAGGAAGACAGTTATTTTAATGTACATTTTGATAATTTCATTTGCACTGCATTTATTTGTACCAGCAAAGGAAATCTAGAGGACGGTTAGACAGTGGATCGGGAGGAGAGACTACTATGGTGCATATGTGGCAACGCACTACAAAAATTACGCACTTTGATAAATTTCTTCAAAGTGCGTTAAAATTGGGACAAAATCAATGCACTTTGAAATTTTTTTTCAAAGTGCGTTAAGAGTGTACATTAACATTTTTTTACCATGGAGACACTTAACGCACTTTGAAAAATATGTATCAAACAAAAATTCTGGACTTAGATTCAAGTAATAGACAGCATTATTTTGTTATATTTCTTTCGAAAAACTGATGAATTGATCAACTCTCATCGAAAACGAGGAGAAGACAGGTAGAAAGTCCCTCAGCGTTCTTTCTCAGTTTATCTTTCCTACCCAAATATATGTATTAATATAACTGGTATGACATTGGTATAATTTGAGATAACATAAAATAGATAAAAAAATATTGAGATAAGCTTTCCTAAAAAAAAAAAAGTAATATAAAATAACGCATCCTATTATGTTAAAGAAGAGAGGCCCAGGGGCCATATCGCTGACCTAAGAAACAATAGCTAACTTACTATACTTTGGCCAAAGTAGCTTTACAAAATAAATTACAATACAAATAAAAAAAAAAGGTATAAAATGCATAAATATTTTTTTCGTGCCTCTTACTGTAGATTCCTTATTTCTCGCGAAATGGATCTTTGACCTCAAATCGCGAGAACAATAGAATGGACGGTTGATCAAGAATTTTCATAGGGATATCAGTATCATACAAATAAAAGCAAGTAAATTTATTTCGCGAGTGGAGCTTCTCGCGAAATTATCCGATAATTAATTCTTTGCTTATATTTAGGAATGTACAGTAATACTAATCAAATAATTATGAAAGACCATCATATAGTGCCGGAAAATTATTTTGGCTAAGGTTTATTTTTCTTACTATCAAATAATTGAGTCAACCATTGTTTCATCTATGTTCACTATATATAGATGAATATGGTAGATTGAGAGAGAGAGAGAGAGAGAGAGAGAGAGTTTTCATGGTATGGAGCAATTATTTCCCTAAGAAAAATGCAATGCTTTAAGTCACTTATCGACCCCCTACATCTACCGAACGTATTACAGTCTAGATTAAAAAAAAAAGAACAAACGAAATTTTGCCATTAAACAATCATTCCTCCATTATTTCTTAAAGACTCATTTTCCTTTTATATCATTTACGAGAACCTTTGGAAAAATCTTTAAAACTTCTATATATCAGATCCTAAAGTGACATCATCACCGAAAAGTTATCCAACCAATTATTTATATATTGACCAAGCCGTGCACTTTTTTCAAAGTGTGTTTTTAACCCACTTTGAAAAAAAAAATTTCAAAGTGCGTTGTTACATGCATATCATGTTCATATTAAAGAACTAAGCACTGTTTTTAATTAAATTTTCTAGAAAGTTTCTGTGAATAGATATGGCAGATTTTGATGATCTTCTGGACGAAGTATCCTCTTTTATAGAGAAGAGGGACATATTAATGAGAAATTCAATTTCACAAGCAGAACGATTTGCTCTTACAGTGCGTTTTTGGCCACCGGTAATATAAAATAAACCGTCTATTTGAAATACATTTAAGGAGGAATGTTAAACCAAAAATTTATTTGATGGATCTTTAAGACATCCACTATAAAGTAGGGTTTCAGCATTGAAAGACTGATATTTGCTCTTAATTATTTTATACGATTTTGTTTAATTTTTTCAGCGAAAAAGTAAAAATATTGTTCTACATTTTAAATTTGAACAAGCCATAATTCATGTAAATGTACACGTATAAAAAGGTTGAGGTATTCTTTTAAAAAAAATGAAGTGGTTAGTGAAGCATAAATATAACACCCAAATCCCAGGCCACTGATTGGCTAGAGAAAGAAAGTCCCATACGACTTGCTGTACAGAATAGAGACACGTTCTATTCGAATGCGTGAAATATATGACTCCGGGGAGGTTTAAATTCCGTGTAATAGCGCCGTACACACGGTAACATTTTGCTTTATACAACAAGGTTTATACAGCTTGCTTTACCGTGTAAACCGGCCTTAAGGCTTTCATATTTGACCTGAGTGCTCATTATGACAAGACCTTTCCATTGGTACAGAAATTTTTGATCATGTGACCTCAACTGTGACCTTTGACCTACATTTGAAAAACTTTAACATTGGCCATAACTATTGCACTGTAGTCTACGTCCCACTCCAGAATTGAATACCATCGGGGGCATAGTGTTTCACAAACACATCTTGTTTCTTCAATGTTTAATGATTTTTTCCCAGGCCCAGTGAATCTGATGAGGCATACAACCCTCTGTCTGACTACTCTGGTCCTACCAGGCTAGGTCACTGCTCTCATTTTCAAATCTCTGGACTCTTCTCCAGTGCCACTGTCCAAAATTTGATCCAGGAAATTAGGTCAGCAAAAAAGTTTTTCAATCAAAAATACATGTATATGAACATGTACCGGTAATTATGTACAGCAGACAATTTTTGCATGTTATTATCTTCCATATTTATTGAAATATTTTTACTGTCTTGAGCTATTCTGTTTATTTAATTTATTTAGACAAATTCAAAAAAAAAAATCCAATATCTGAAATGTAAAAATACTGATGAATCAAACCCCATCTTTATCATTTTTAGCTGTACTGGTCAGAGACCAGAAGACCTTATGCAATAGTAAGGTGTCTGTGGTACGTTCGTCTATTGTCTGTCTGTCCGTCCGTCTGTCAACAATTTTTCAAAACGCTACTCCTCCTACAGTTTTGGTCTGATTTTAATATAACTTGGCACATAAGTAGACTACACTAAGATACATAATTCTCTTTATCAGATTTTGATTTCAATGAACAGTGTTGCCATGGTTACTAAAAATAGAGATTTCTGGGAAATACTTTCAAAATGCTACTCCTCCTACAGTTTTGGTCTGATTTCAATATAACTTGGCACACAAGTAGACTATACTAAGATACATAATTCTTTATCGGTTTTTGATTTCAGTGAACAGTGTTGCCATGGTTACTAAAAATAGAGATTTCTTTGAAATATGTTCAAAATGCTACTTCTCCTACAGTTTTGGTCGGATTTCAGTATAACTTGGCACACTAGTGAATAACAAAGATACATAATTCTATATATTAGTTTTTGATTTCAATGAACGGTGTTGCCATGGTTACTAAAAATAGAAATTTCTGTGAAATACTTTCAAAATGCTACTCCTCCTACAGTTTTGGTCCGATTTCAGTATAGCTTGGCAGACAAGTTGACTATAATAAGATACATAAATCTATGTATCGGTTTTTGATTTCAATGGACGATGTTGCCTTGGTTACTAAAAATTTTAATTTCTGTGAAATACTTTCAAAATGCTACTTCTCCTACAGTTTTGATCTGATTTCAGTATAACTTGGCACACAAGTAGACTACACTAAGATGCATAAATCTTTTTATCGGTTTTTGATTTCGATGAATGGTGTTGCCATGGTTACTAAAAATAGAGATTTCTTGGAAATACATTCAAAACGCTACTGCTCCTACAGCTTTGGTCTGATTTCAGTATAACTTGGCACACAAGTAAACTACACTTAGATACCTAATTCTCTGTACTAGTTTTGGATTTCGATGAACAGTGTTGCCATGGTTACTAAAAATTTACTAATTTTTGTCGATTACGTATAAAATAAATGTTTTTTGCTTTATATTTGTATGGTTAAGTAAGTCGAAGGAAATTGAAGCCTAAATTTCTGTGAAATACTTTCAAAATGTTACTCCTCCTACACTTTTTGTCAGATTTCAGTATAACTTGGCATACAAATTGACTACACTGAGTTACTTAATTGTCGTTTTTGTTTTTTTTGATTTTGTTGAATGATGTCGCCATGGTTACTTAAATCCAAATTTCTGTAAAATTGTTTTAAAAGGCTACTCCTCCTACAGTTTTAGTCTGATTGCAATAAATCTTGCCACAAAAAGAGACTAAACTAAGGATCATTATTCTATTTATTGCTGTTGCAAAGTTTCAAGTCCTACTTTTATCTTCCGTTATAAGTACAACCAGTAGAGCTACAGTCTCATCAGAGACTTCTGGTTTTATTACAGAAAGATGTGTAAATCCTGCAATACATGGGCCTGTCTGACAATTCATGGATTTACTGACTCACCAACTTCCTTAGGAAGATCAGAGAAAAATCCCCACAAGTTGTGTGCTGACAGTGCTACTCTAGTGATTCTACCCAGTGACAGATGCTGGTTGTTTACAGATACCTGAATTGAACTTTGTTGAAATTGAATCTGTTGATCAAAAGTGTGCCAGTTCCCTAGTACCTAGATGAGGCACTCAGTGCAGCTGTAAAATGTACATCAGGGTTATATCAGTATCATCTGATTATGAACTAAGCCTGTATTATGTTCCATCTGTACTGCATTAAAGAATTCACACGAAGTTTGAGAAGTACCAGTCTTCTTTCACTTACATGTATTAGCTCATCTGAGCTGAAGGCTCAAGTGAGCTTTTCTGATCAAAAAGTGTCCAGCATCCATCTGCCTGTCATCTGTTGTGCTTCATGTGTTGTCTGTAAAATTTTCACATTTTCAACTTCTTCTCCAGAAGTCAGGCCTATTTCAACTAAACTTAATCCTTTTGTGAAGGGGATTTAAGTTTGTTCATAGGAAGTGCCATGCCCTCTTTCAAGGGGAGATCATTAAGAATTTGTTAATTTTGGTGGCATCTTTTAAAAATCTCAAGAACCACTGGGCCAGAAAAGATGAAACTTATGTGTGAGCTTCATTACAAGCTTCACTACATACCTTTACAGTAGATTCAAGTTTGTTCAAATTATAATCCCCTAGGGTAGGGCAGAGCCACAACAGGGGATCAAAGTTATATACATAGAAATATATTGGAATTATCTTTAAAAATCTTCTTCTTAAGAACAGCAAAGCTATTATTATTCAAATTAATAAAGAAGCATCCTCAAATAGTGCAGATTCAAGTTTGTTCAAATCATGACCCCTGGGGGAAGGGCAGGGCCACAACAGGGGATCAAAGTTATACATAGGAATTTGGAAATATCTTTAAAAATCTTCTCAAGAACAGCAAATCCATGATTGATCATATTTATACAGAAGCATCCTCAGGTAGTGTAGATTCAAGTTTGTTCAAATTATGACCACCTAGGGTAGGGCAGGGTAGGGCAGGGCCACAACATGGGATTTAAAGTTATACATAGGAATATATAGAAAAATCTCCAAAACAATCTTCTATTATGGTCCCACCTTGGGGTAGGGTAGGACTATAATAGGTGATCAAAGTTTTACATAGGAATATACCCGGTATATGAAAAATAGAAACAGTTAGTTACTCAGGAAACCCATGGGCCATAATGTTAACCTGCCTAAATGATTTAACAGTGTTAACCTGATTCAATGATTTAACAGGAAACTTGTGGACCATAGTGTTAACCTGTCAGTGAGTCAATGATTTAATAGGAAACCTATGGACCATAGTGTTAACCTGACTCGATGATTTAACAGTGTTAACCTGACTCAATGATTTAACAGTGTTAACCTGACTCAATGATTGAACAGGAAACCCACAGACCATAGTGTTAACCCGAGCCACACTACACTTCTGAAAAATGAGTTTGAAAAATGAAACCCAATATTGTGGTTTTCAATTTTTCAACAGGTTAAATATTACAACAGCATATACTGCAGTATATATTCCTATGTTATTGTGGCTCAGTCCAAAGTCAAGGTGACATTTTTTGCATAAACTGATTTGAGAAAATGAAGAGGCCTGTAGGCTACTGCGCTCACCCGTCACTTTCCCCTTCCAATGGGTAAATATATGTACAGGCTCTTCAGCTTATTAATGTTAATTTAACATCAATAGCATACATATGGTCAATGCATACATTATATCAGGTATCATTTATGTACATGTAGATAAATTAAATGCTTTATTGGTTTTAGTAGCAATGTGAGTTGTGATTAAAACAAATATTTCAGTCATGTGTTCATATTTTTATTTTCAACCATTATAACATAATAAGTGGATTTTCAGAGGAAAAAAACAATGCAATCTTGAATTTCATTTCTATATCTAAGACCGTAATATACTAGTTTACATTCTCTAAATACATGTAGTCTCTATTCTCGACATTTAACTGTTAAAGATATAAAAATGATACATATCTGTTATTTGCAACATGATACACAACTATCCAATGAAAATTTACATTTATAATATTAAATAAACAATATCAAAATGTAAAGGGATATAAATAAACAAGAATCACATATCACATGTTAAATATTGAACACATAAAAAGACTTCAGATCAAACTAAAATTCTTCACAAAGTTTCACAGATTACTGGTAATTTGAAGAAACCATAAAAAAAATATATATACACAATTTCTTTTAATCTTTTAAGAGTTCAATTTTTGGTTGCAGTTTTAAATGACTTACCAAGCTTGGGGATTTAAAATACTTAGAGCTGCATATTTTTATTTTCATTGTACACTCTTTGGAGAGTTGGAGAGACATTATAAATGACCCTGTTGCACACATTTCAAAATTTCACCTTTTATAATGTTGTAGAGATTATGAAGAACACAATACATGCATAAAACACAAACCAGAAAAATAAAATGCAAATATGTGTATCTGAAACATTTATATATATACCTATATGTACATATTCATAGATAAATACATTATGTTATGTATTACATTTGAATAAGGGAAAATGCTGAGAAACATTTGTGTTAAAATAAAAATTATGTAGCAATAATTGTACAACAGTAATGGAAAGAGAAACATTTTAATTATTATCAGGCACCTGAAAATCTGAATTCTATTTTTAGTTTTTGTAGCTGTTATATCAAATTAATACTTTGACAAAATTTTTTTGCTTGATAAGAATATTCTGATAGAGCAGATGATGAGGTATAATTATCTCTTTATATAATGAAATGTCCATGTAATGGAGAAAAAAAATCACAACAATCATCACAAACTTCAGGGACTGGAAGCATAGACAGAGAGAGTTACATCTGTATCTTAATTAAGAGCCCTCTATACACTGCACACTAGAGAGTTCTGATTTTGTGGTATTTTTATGCAGATAGAGTGATCTGCCCTTTGATCAAGAATAAGATAAATTGAAATGTACAGTTTATTACTTAATTTGTGATCAAATCAAGCATTCATAACACTTTCATAGGCCAACATGTGAATATTTTTCCTGGGGGTAAATGCAAGGCACCCTATGTTGAAAATGTGATAGATAAGCTCAATACTTACACCTTTACACACTATAATTTTCTCAATGTCCAAAAAATATTTTCCTCTAGTGTATAGAGGGTCCTTAAAGTATCCATAAGACAAAGACACTGAAAACTAAGAATTATAAAAATCAAGAGTTGATAAGTGTCATGAATGAAAACCACAACTCTCTCAATTTTGTCCAAGAATAATATTGTCTGACTATAGTGACTTTTTTTCACCAATTGTTATCAATGTGTTCAAGATATCACTTGTTCATACTATGACATTCAGAGAAGTGTTTAAAATAAATAAGAAAAAATATGGGAAAAACACAATAGGTCACTTTGAAACATTTTACACTTTTATTCAAACTTGCGATGGATTTTAGAACCATGTCCTATAAAAAAAAAATACTTTGGCAAGTATTTTTCCTAAACATTAAATTACCGTACTTGTTACTTTTATACAAACATGCATGCACAAAGATTATTAGGCTAATTGCTAATTTGCTGTTTAGCAAAGTAATTCAGAGAGATTAAACGTGTGTGAACTAGCAACTGTATCTCCTCTAGTTATTCATGGGAGTTCATATGAATAAAAATGATGAAAATATGCATCAATTGGCCACTTCTTATATTTTCTTTAAGATTAGCTGTTTCCTTTATTTCAGTTTCAAAAAAAAAAAAGTTTAACGAAGTCATAAATGTATTATAAGTTCAGACAAACAGAAGAAGATGCATTTAATATGAGATTTAATTCAGATATTAATGGTAAAGAATTTCTTTCAATTTTAAAATAAAATGAGTATCCTAGTGTTAAATTTTTCTGATAAAACAAAGTCCTTAAAGTTTAATCAAAGCTACCAAAACTTCCCACACTTCCAAAGCTACTTAAAGAACTCCAACTTCCGTGGCGACCTAAGCCCCACCCAAAGGGCCCTCCGAATCCGTGCCCCATCATTCTGGAGGCTCCGTACCCCAATGCTGCTCCTCCTATTAGACCTGTAATCACAAAAAATTCATTGAGTGTTGGAAAAATATATTGCATGTGTATCTTTTTGTTTAAGCACTTCAGGAATTTCAATTTATTGATTTGATATGACCTGAAATAAGATACTATATGGCTGTGTATTCTATTTAGCACCTTTGGAGGAAAGCAACTTCCACTACTTACATTGCTAAATGTCTTCTATACATACGTACATATGTATATCTTAGCACATTCAGAAATGTGTTATTCAAATCTAAGTTATCTTCTTGAAAAGTCAATTTCTGCCAAAAATCATTGTGCGTTAAATATAATATAATACATCTACAGTATAGCACAGTAATACCTAGTTTATACAGAACAGCCATATAATAAATAGCTGATGATAGGAAAGTGATGATTTGTCACAAACTAATTTAAAGTAATTTGGTAAAACCTCTTTATAACAGAGCTCTGATAGATTCTTGACATGATTTTTTGATCTATATATAAGTAATTGGTTATACTAACCTGCAGCCAGTTTGCCCGTATTACCACCAAGTATTCCTCCACTTTTACTTTTCTGTGGTTTAACAACATATTGCTGCTGATATCCTTGTGGTGCATAACCTGAAGTCATAAGAACATTTTTTAACTTTAAAAAGAGGTGTTATCTAGAGACAACACTATGGGTGTAAAATGAAAGTAAGTTTCTCAATTGAAAGCTATTTCATAGACCACAAACACTGATAGCAATTTTAAAGTTCTGGAAATTAAAAATTGTATTACCATATGGTTGCTGGTACTGTTGTTGAGGATACTGTTGATACGGCTGTTGTGGATATTGTTGATAAGGTTGCTGTGGATATTGTTGATAAGGTTGCTGTGGATATTGTTGATAAGACTGTTGGGGGTATGCTGCTGGCTGTTGGGGGTATGCAGCAGGCTGTTGAGGATATCCTTGGGGTGGCGTGTAAGACTGTGGGGGAGGTGCTTGAGGATATCCACTAGGTTGTGTTGGGTAGGGTGCAGGTCCACCTGTATACATAAAACATGTTTGTCATCTAAAATGGGTATGTACACATACAAGAAAAAGACTTTTTTCACTGTCTTCAGCATCTACCCAGTAATGTTCATAATACACAACAATTATCCTCAGAAACATTGCCATCTGCTGAAGGGAACTTTACTGACCTGCCAAACCATCAAAACCTAGCCCTGGCCCTCCTGAACCACTGGGTGGTGCTGCACTGTAGGGGGGTGGTGCTGATGGTGAATTATAACTTTGTGGCATACTTCCTGTAGAGCTACTTGGGGGGATTCCTCCTGAGGGCTGCTGCTGGCCGCCAGGTGGTGGGAGCTGTCATAAAATCATTATAAAGGTTATAGTAAACACACTAGTGAACTGCTATTAACAAATGCCCACATTTATATTTCTGCAATTTATACTAATTTGAAATTCACAATTTCCAATGATTTATACATTGCATTGCATATCTAAACATATGTAATCATTTTGTATTGGTTGTTAATTATAATGGTGATTTACCGAGTGTAGTGAAGTTCTGGTATAAAGAGTATATGTACTTACTACTTGACAAATTGCATTCATCCATTCACTGAAATAGAAAATACTTGATTATTAGATAGCTTTATAATTTTATTCATTTTTACATCCAATTTGTAAACAAGTATTTTAAAATACAGGTACTGATACATGTATTACGACAGTTACGTTAACTTTGAAGAAGGATTAAATTAAATTTAATTTTTAACTTTTGACAGCAAAATCTTTATACAGATTAAGCATATACATGTATATTGAAGAGCTGCCTGAAACTATGTCTTTCTTCATCAAATTCAAAAGAAAATAAAAATTAACAGATATACTGAATGACTCTGGTTTTTCTTACTGGAGATCATTGTTGTCCCGACATAGAAACCAGAACACTTTAGCCTGACTGTTGTTTTTATGGGGGATGGCCAAGACTTGGTCATAAGATGCTCCTCTTGGAAGATCAGGTCTATCAGAGAAACTACTTGTATGTTCTCCAAAGGCAAATCTTTTACATACATCCTGTTGAAGAAGAGCATTATGATGTACTTGTCATAAGTTGGAACAGAGGTATGTAATTTATATCATTATACAGTCTTAAGTCATACTAATCTGGGATTTTTTTTTAAGAACTTTTAGTTCAATAGCAAGGATACATACTTTGGCTTTGTAGTATACATGTTAAATGTAGCAACAAGATGAGTATTGGGTTTGCTTCGACCACTTTCATGAGATACAAAAATACTAAAGCAAAATTATCATTTTATCTCTCATCCACCTGACATTCACATTTTATTGGAAAGTAGCTGCAAAACTGCAGCTCTCTGTTTGAGAAAATTCAGATGAATGGTATGTCTGTCCTACTTTTCTTAACCAGAAAGCTACAGTTCTACACTACATGTAGTTGGACAAGGTATATTTTATAATGTGTCACATACGCATATAGAGCTCTGTTTAATTCTGGATGTTTGTGACCTTGACTTACTTCAAAATAACCTTACAACATAAAATGGAAGTACTTACCTTCATGTGAATTTTTGCTTTGATTTCAAGGTCACCTTGTCTATTGTACATGCACAGGTCACTGTTGTCATAAAGGACAACCCACACATCCTTCCAGCCACCAGAAAACATACTTTCTGGAAAAAAAGAGAAATTTTAAGCATACAGTTATCTTTAGTTTTATCTAAACAGTTAACAATTCCTGCTTAATAAAAATTGAGTATGTTTTACTTCAAATATATACTTTATAAGACAGTTTAATAAATTAAGGTAATCTGATCCTTGGGTTCTGAAAATTAGCCATTAAGTAATTGAAAATGCTCATAAAAATGCCTCTGATTTCACAAAGTAATGTGCATCTACCCATGGTATTTCTTCAAAGTTCATCATTACAGATAATCACATTATATAGGGAACTTTATCAAATCTCATACATATTTTCTGGAAACACAAATAAAAACACTAGCTTTACATTTTCTATTTGAAAATTGATCAAAAAATTTTATTTTAGGATAAAAAACTAAAGATATTCACTATTCAGGCATTTGGAGAAAACTGCATGTTTCTTTTTACTAAAACGGTATTTTAGTTCATCGTTAGATTATATATAGTGTAAAAAGCTTAATTGTGCTATCATTGCAAGACATCACACGCCAATGGGTACCTAATGCTAAATTAAAGGATATTCAATTTCTCTAAAAATGTATGTATTTTTGCATTTTTATGGGGTACAAATGTCAACATTTTACAAAGTCATTTTTAAGGCTTCAGAGAATGTTGAATCATATTGAGATGCATGAAATGAAAATTGTTGCACGGAAAGATTTCAATTTCAAGCTTCATTTGAGACTTTTTAAATTAAAATAATATTTTTAAAAGTATTTCTCCTGGTTCCTTGATATATGCATGTAGAATTAATATTTCTGGTTAATTATTTTTAAAGTATTAGTACTAAGGCATTACCTGTAAATTACTTTCATTTATCATAATATCATGTTACAGTATAAGATGAAAATTGAAAATATAAATATTGTTCCAAGGTCACTTGGAAGAGGGCCTTAAATCCTCCACTTTACTAAATTCAGTCTCTCTCTTTGTTCTGTTTCCTTTTGGTTACCATTTTTGAAACATTTTAAAATACAAGGAGATTCACATCTATAGTATCATTTCCTTCCTGTGTTTATCCTTAAAATTTTGCCAGGCCCATACATGTATGATAAAAATTATGACAAATTCATATCATTGTAAAAAAAAAAAAAAAAAAAAAAATCAAGAGTGGCATTAAGAGTTTTAAAAAGTCAGCACTAGCTTAATCAATTAGCTTACTGAATACAACTTATACTATTATAATTGTGGATGTACTTTTTTCCACTGGGTAATAATTCCACGCAATCACAATTTCTGTATAATCCAAGTGTAGAAAATTGTATATGTCTTCAAAATACTTTACAGTACACAGTGACAAATTTCTGCAAATAATATGTGACCACCTACATAGCATAAATTAATCCAACAGGGAAAACATATGTGTATAATATTTATAGTGACTCTCAGCTTTAGTTCTGTTCATAATATATATATATTTATTGCCTTCATTTGAACATCACACTATCAAACTTTATACAATTATGGACTGTTTCAATGGTGAATATGGTTTGATAGTCATCAGGCAGAAAATTTTGAATATTGACCGAGGTGAAGCCAAGGCCATTTTTCTGGGGAATATCAAACCATATTCACCACTGAAAGAGTTCATAATTGTTTTATTATATAGTCCAGGTTTGAATAATTAAAGCATTGAAAGCTGCGTAACCACACTATTTTCATTAATCAACTTCTGTCGCAGAAAGATTTAAATATGTCCAGATTACAAGTTATAATTTCTGTGTTTTCCTTTCATAGTGTGTAAGACATGATTCCCAAAATATTAAGAACAGGATTATGATCTGGCAACAAGCTTGCCTAAAGTTTTTCCTGCTCAGATAGATAGCTGGGTCCAGCCATTGCAAACATTGTTTACAATGCTTTTTGAGGTGTTATTAAAATAAATATTTGTGACACCACATCACAACTGCTCATGTATTGACCCTCCGGTGAATCTGGTTTCAAATCTATGAATATATTGTGTTATCAACCATATGTATTTGTGTAGATTATAAGAACTATTAATAGACTATATAAAAAAAATAATTAAAAATATATTCATTCACTGAATTCACCTAATAAAATATTATAGAATCAAACTTACTACTGAAACGTTTCAGGTGTCCAGATTTCACAATTCTCAAAGCCATGTTTTCCTGAAATGTAAACAATTAATTTTTTTAAAGAAAAAAAGACTAATCACAAGATAGAAAAATACTTTAAATAATAAATTTCACAACATTTTCATTGCTTGCCCTTCAGGGGAAATACTTGCCATCAGTATTAATGATAAATGAACTCGGAGTCCTGATACATAATTATCTAGTATCTATCAGTTTCTAAACATTGAGCCTCTTCCTTTTTTGTACAAAGCATGATTTTTCATTTCAGTGTGTCTCATGATGTGTAAATATCTTTAAAAAACATCACAACAACACCAGAATTGCTCTGACTTACCTATATTATTATTACTGGTAGATATAAAAGACTTAAATAGGTCTGAAAATGTCTCTGTGTTTTACTAATGGTAGAAATCCGAAATATTTACAAAACATTCAATATGTCAAAATAAACTTGCTCTCATTTAATAAAAGCTTGTAAGTAACGGTCAAAAGGATAACAAGATAAACGCACAGATGATACAGAACAGAAAGTTAGGGTTCCAGCTTAATTTCCCCCTACATATTTTCAACCTCGTACGAATTTCTCGACACTATCGGGAAAAAGTTCAATATATTATGCTTAGATTTATATATTTTTGTGATTTTGCAAAAATGATACTGAAAATAATTCAATAGCGTTTTTTTTCCAATTAATTTTATCTGGAAAGAAAAATGTGTGGGACGATTTCTTAATCAGTTTTACTGTCAATATTTTCAAAAGTAAAAACATAAAAACATGTAAAGTTCATTCACAGTATCTTCTGATACATTGTACCAGTCACTGCTTGGATTACTTGCTTTTAATTAAAACAATCTTTCAAAATGTACCATTTTCAATATTTAAAGTAATATTTAATTTTGCTGTCTATACAAAAAGAGGCTGCCTTAACAGAGTACAGTACAAAACAACCCTTAGAGAGAATATTTTCAAAGAATAAATACATTTCACTATTAAATCAATAGAGTCAATAGACACCAGAACCCCTGCCCAATGGGCCAGGAATTTCACAAATTTCATAGAAGCACCCTTGCTCATCATAATTATGCACATAGTTTATCTGCTTTATTCCCAGGAGCAGAGGAGACACTTTTCAAAGAATTAATTCATTTTACCATATAACCAATAGAGTCCTGTCCTAACTAAAACCTGAACCCCTTACCCAGGAATTTCACAAGTTTTTGAATATGCACTTAGTTGGTTTGCTTAATACCCAGAAGCAGAGAATAACCATGCACTTAGTTTAGTTAACCCAGGAGCATAGAAGAAGATTTTCGAAGAATGAACGTATTTTCACTATATTATCAATAGAGCCCTGCCCTAACACCAGTACCCCTCTCCAAGGGGCCATAAATTTCACAATTTTGGAAGAGGTACCCTTGCTCATCATAACCATGCACTTAGCTTGTTTGCTAAGTATCCAGGGGTTGAGAAGAAAATTTACAAAGAAGTATTGCAGTTTCACTACATAATGAATGGAGCCACACCCTAACATTAAAACCCATGACCAAGGGGCCAGGTATTTCACAAATTTGGAAGAGGCATCCTTGCCCATCATCTATGCAGTTAGTTTCTTTGCTGAATACCGAGGGACATACATGAAGATTTTTAAAGAATTTATGCATTCTCCCATTATGATCAACAGAGCTCACCATGACATCAGAACCCCTGATCCAGGGCCAGGAATTTCAAATTTTGGAATAGGCACCCTTGCTCATCATAAATATGCTCTTAATTTTTCTGCTGAATATACAGGAGGAGAGAAGAAGCTCTTTAAAGAATTAATGCATTTTCATTATTAGATAATCAAAAGAGCCCTACCCTATCTCTGGAATTCCTGACCCAAGGGCCATGAATTTCAAAATTTTGGTAGAAAGCTCAGTATGCTTATTACAACAGATTGACTGCTTGATGTCCAGGGGTAAAAAAGATTTTTAAAGATTGAATTAATTCTTATGGTTTTAGATCCACCCCTCAGGCCCCAAAGGGGTAGAGAAAATGAAATTCAAAATTTTTGTTCCCCTTCACCAATAGATCCTATTACCGGTAGTCAAAATTAGTTGAAATTGGTTCAGCAGTTCCAGCAAAGAAGCAAACAGCAAGAGGACATCTGATTGACTCAGGTGACCTAAAAAAAATTGGAGAATGATTTCACATTCATGGGAGGAATTACAAACATTATAATTTTCATGACTGGATAATGAACTCTGATACTATCGTCAAAGTCACCAGTAATTCTTGATCAACTAGAAGTCATGTAAAGAAACAGACTGGCACTGTATCATTCCATTTCATGATGTGTATCGTATCACCAGTGAAGTATCGCAATACACTTGTTATTTCATTAACATGAAATTTTATAATATAAATCAAGTAATAGAAACATTAGAAAGATATAAAACATGATATTTCTTTGGTCATTTGACTAATTTCCTGAGAGCAGGATAAGTAAGTTTTGAAGAGAAACATGTCATTGTCTTTTGTTACCTGTGTCTAGTAATTTCTTTGGGTTCTTATCTTGTTATGTCATCTAATTGTCTTTTTTACTGATATTAAAACAAAGGAAAGGAAAAATGTATTTATTTAAAGACATGAACAGATAAAAAAAATGCAAAGATTCAATTTCCAAAACATTTAAATATATGCTTTAATAATGCAGCAAGAAATTCATTAATACCTATCATTTTATATACAGTGAAAACTCTAATCAGAAACCTGTGTAATCCTTTTCACTGTGAGTTACGACTTAAGTTAGTTTTCATTCCCATTTTACCATTTTTCATGTTCTTTACACAGTGTAATCCGACACCCTGTCTATTCCAACAAAAAATTTGTCTCCCAGTGTATGTCAGATTAGACAGGTTTAACTGTACATATGTATTAATCCAAACTTTCAAACCTTTAACATTGACAAATATTATACCTCTGTATTCTTCAGATCTCAATATGAAATTTTGTTACTTGCTACAAACCTTTCAAAAATCAAGAAAATAGGCTCTAAATATATATATTTATGTAAGTAAAACTTTAATCACATGAAGTTTATTTTTTCCCAAGATTTTTCAATAATGTCTACAAACCTTTCAAAAATCAAGAAAATAGAAAATTCTTAACTTTTCATATTTTGGGAATTTGATATTTGCACCATTTACAAATTGTACATCCAAAATAAGTCCAAAAATATTTACCAACCGAATTCATGCATCTGATTTTTTTATAACAAGTGTAACATAAACATGATAATCTCTAAACTGCTCTATTGATGACAACACTGGAGATTGGTTATGTCATGTACATCAGAACATTTCTATGTTAATCAAACAAATTTCATGAAGTCTGTAGAATACTTTAGGCAAAGTGTTCTGTTAGAAAGGAATATTACATTTTATACTTGAAGAGTTAGCTCCCTTGAAGACACATTTTTTTTTCCACAGCTGTACTATAATTAAAGGGTTTTTATCACAGTTCAAAATTTGACTTAATTCAGAAATACAAAAGTAAAGTAAGAAAAAAAATACAGGTAATATTTGTATACTACACTGTTTATAAAAAATAAAAGAAAATAGACGTAAAAAACACAAACTAGTTGACCAGACATCATACAATAGTTGCAAGGTACTTCATTTTATTTACATACCACAAGGACAAAATGAACAATGTAGACACTGGCATGTTTCAAGTTAACACATAAAAGAGAGAATTTGCTAAAATTTCAATTACTTTTATTTTTTTATTATTATTAATCAATAGTCCATCTTAGGAACAGGATTAAAATCCACTTAAGAATGACTTCATACTTAGTATTTTTGCAAACTTTTCTTTTGTAACAGATACATTTGTCAGCAAAAAGGAACACCAGTAATATATATATTGTTTGTTTTTTTCTTTGGTCAAAAGTCCTTCTGGTACTTTAAAACTAAATTCCTTAAGAGATAAAAGTCATAAAAGTAAACGGAGAATACATAAAACACAACCAGATAATTTACTATATATACATCGTACGTGTACATATAAGTTACTAAAATGGCACAGGTTTACATAATGGCACTCTATGCATTGCATGTGATACAAAATAATATTTTGCATTTATAAATAAAATGACAGATACAAGTCTTCATTCACCATATGCATGATCCCTAACAATTATAAAATTAGATTCTAGTGTGGTGCCAGCAAAATAACAATTTCCTTTGCTGACCCTTACCATTTGTTATCCCTTCTTTATTCAATATTTATGTATCTTGCTATTATGTGTGTGTGTGTGTGATGATTATGGTAACTATACCATTTTGATTTATTGTATGATACATAAGATACTTGTATAGCTGTACTAGCATGTGCCATTAATCAAGAATAGTAATCTTTTATTATGAACTGGTAATTAAGTGCTTTTGATTTTATTGGAAATGCTAAAAGATGCCGGAAAAAAAAATTAAAATACTAATTTATCCCTTTTTTCTTCATGATTTACAGAATTTTATACTCATCAGTCTTCATTGTTCATTTTTTAAATTTGAATGTGGCTGGACAAAGCTTGAGAAGAAAATAAAACCTAAACAAACAGCTCATATATGAGCCACAAAGTGCATATGTACTGCTATATCTTTATAAATACTGGTACATGTATATACTAACTAAGAAACAGTATTTCATCAATGTAAACAGTATATATACAGTTAATTCATCGATAATCTGTATAAAAATCTGATCACAAATTGTTAGTACAAAAACAAAAAAACAAACAAACAAACAAACAGAAAAATCCTGATTTTTTAAAATAGAATATGGCATGGTAATAGTAAATTGGTACCGATTATGCTTACAATATGAGATATATCAACACAAACCAATATACATCTGTTTTACCAGGTATCAGTACTTTACTGCAAGTGTAACCCTGATTTTAAACAATCCAAACTATCTCATTCCTGTATTACAGTCTGTCTGACTGCGGGTGAGATATTCAGTATACAGAACCCATTGAACATACTAGAACATACGTATAATTAAAAATCTCATGCAAATATCACATTGATAAACAGCAACCAAATAACATGCATAGAACATCTTCATATAAATACCAGAAATATCTTAAATATTTGTGAATTTCATTCAATTTTTACAGAGAAAAGGTTTACACATAAAAATTGGATGTATGTATTCTTAATTACGCTTTAGGGTTTTCACAAGAGTGCTTATGCTACCTTTCATCACCCTTTGAAGACATTGTTACAGATTTTAATACAAAGGTAAAAAAAAAATACTAACATAAAAATGTACGTGCTATAACATTATCCACAATTTAAAGTCAGTGGCAGTGCAGGTTCTAATTTAAAAGCTTCTCTTTGTTTAATCAAAACTTCCAATGCTCCCAAAACTGCCTGCACTTCCAAAGCTACTCATAGAACCCCAGCTACCAAAACTACCAAGGCCCCAGCCATGACCAAGCATCTTCTTGGCTCCATAGCCGAGGGCAGCCCCTCCTATCAGACCTGCAAAAGAAAATTTACTAAGCCCTGTAAAAAACTGATAAAGACAGGATGATCAAAATGCAAAGCATTTGTAAAGTTATATTCCCACTGATTCAAATGCACAATCAAAAAAAAACCTATGCAGATACCTATTTATGTCTTATGGACTTAATTAAAGGTCAAGGTTCAAGGTGAACTCTGAAGGAGGTATTTAAATATGTCATCATGATCAACGTGTGAATTAAACTGAAGAATGCATGTGAGCATATTTTGCCTAGAGCAAAGTGTTTTTTGTAGGTTGAACATAATTTAACAAACCTTCAATTATTTTCTAAAAGCATGACATGTCTAACCAGGTTTGAAACAATTGTAATCTCAGTAATGTTGATTATCAGAATTTACGTAAAGTTACTGACCTGCTGCTACTTTTCCACCTTTACTCCCCATTATTCCTCCATGTCCTCCTTTTCCTCCCAACATTCCTCCAAGCCCTCCTAATATTCCCCCTGAACCTTTATCGTGATATTGCTGTTGTTGAGGTTGACCTAAAATGTTCAAAATTGTAGAAATTTCTTTAAAGACTTGCATTTATGTAATAAGTATACAAACAGGCTGCTATTAAGGTATTTATTCCTACAAATGTACAATATATGACATATTAATACTTTAATTTCCACAGATATTACACAAATAGAATAAAAGAACATGGACTCTATCTAAATAAAATTAGATGTTCTGAATCTGCTCCTGCTTCTCAAAGTTTGAGAAGGGGTAGCAGATTTGGAACATCTAATTTTAATTACATTTAATTTGACATGTACTATACATGAAAGAATCTAAACACTAACTATTGGAATATTCATGAATTTCAGCTAACTTTTTTCTTTGTAATTAGTGTATAACTAGAGTGTTATAGAAGACTTTAAACCAATCAAGACTGCTTGAGGATAAACTTCACCAAGAATTATTATTTAAAAATTAAAAAAAAAAAACATACTTTAGATTCCTTATGATAAGCAAAGAATATCAAGTAATTTTGTGAGAAGCACAACTTAAGAAATAAAACTACTGGCTTTTTATTATTTTATTGCTGAGATACATAAATGTGAAAGGTCTTGATCAAAAGAGCACTTGTGAATTCATATTCTCCCAATTTGACATCTATAAGTCATTTTATGATATCAAGTAGTAATTGTGTAAAATAAAGAAACAAAAGTAATGAGTAGCCCAGCTATTTACTTCCAAACTTTCAGTGGTTATTAGTTGGGATGTAATTTCATAGTAATTAAATTACCATATGGCTGCTGTTGATACTGAGGATACTGCTGATAAGGCTGCTGGGGATATCCTTGTGGGGGAGGCCCTGGGGGGTAAGGACCAGGTTGTTGGGGGTGAGGAGCAGGTCCTCCATAGTATCCTCCTACAAATGAAACAATTTTGAATGTTTATAGTCGTCCTTTATAATTTTGAAATATTTACCAAGAAATTTACATTGTTTATTATACAATTTAAAAAATGAAAATGTAATGCAACTTTTATACAGTATTACATCAATTCAGTTTGTAAGTTGATCTGCAAACATGTACATGTTCAACTTTACCTGACACTCCATCAAAACCTATGCCTCCAGGTGCACCTGCACTGTAAGAAGGTGGGGGGTTTGAAGGCTGCTCCTGTGGACTTGGGGGTGGGGGAAGCTGTATATCAAAAATATCCTTGTGTATATACACAGTAGCAATACATGTATGTATGAAATCTCTCATAACAATAAAATAATGTGCTTTAAAATATCTATTTGATTCTAGTAATAAAAATACATGTTCACAGTGTAATCATTTTTTGCAACTAGCTTTTAATCAAATATATGTACCCGGTAAATGTATGTATTTCATATTACTTACAGTTTTGCAAATTGCATTCATCCACTCACTGTAATCAGAAAACTAAAAAAATGTATACATGAACATGTCAATCTCCTTACATTAGATACAGAAGAAGCATTGAAAAAAGATAAACATAATCAATCTAATTAAAATTAGATGTTCCGAATCCCACATCGCTTCTCAAACATCTAACAACATCCCATACAGAGTCATGTCAGAGTGATCTTTCAAACATGGATAAACATGAAAAATTTCAGCCAATCAGAATTAAGCCTCTATATATGATTCTAAAAATAGTTCAACAGCCATTTTTTACATTTCTGCAGGTCACGCTGATGTGACCCCGAATCAGATGTTGTTAGATATGTTTGAGAAGTGGTAGTGAAACATATTTTATAAAATTCAAGGCCCAATTTGAAGTTAGACAGAAGACATCCATATTTACTGGTGATAATACAGTTAAAATCATTTAGTACGAACACGGATTTTGCAAATTCACTGATATAGTTAAGTTTTCTTGGATCCCCAACTAAATAAATTTTATGAATTCGTTATATGGATATAACAAATCATGGATATAGCGAAGTAATTTCACAGGTCCCAATGACTTCATTATAACTGAGTTTTACTGTACATGTATCATAGCTTTCAGGTCAACTTGACCTAAATAAAAATTATCTTAGATTTTTTCTTCATTTTACATGATGACGAATTTTGGGTATTTTAAACTTCTTCCCACTAGTAATGCATTCAATGACATTTTTTTTAACAAGATAGGAGTCCAATTCCAAACTTGATTAAACCTTTATCTAAGTCTTTTTTATGCTTACTGGAGTTCATTTGGATCATGACAAAGTAACCAGAAGACCTTGCATTTGCTGTTATTTCTGGTGGGAATGGCCAGTAGACTGTCAATGGATGCACCTTCGGGAAGATGGGGTCTGTCTGGAAAACCGGCTGTATACTGGCCATAAGCAAACCTTTTACATACATCCTAAAAAATAAACAGGTAAACTTGTATTAAATCTATCACATGTAATAAACTGTTAAACATACATGTACATGTACAACTAGTAGGGCAGTAACAAATTTATATTTTCCTCTCCATTTTTGTTATACCGGTAATTTCATGTATAAGTAATTTGGTCATGGTCATAGGTTATCCTGTACCGAAGTGGGCCACAATGGGATGTTTGTGCATTAATATGATTTTGTGCAGTTCTTCAAAAGAAGATTTTGATTTTTCTTTTATATTTCATCCCTACTGTGACCTCACCTTAATTCCCGTAGCAGGGTTTTCATACCACTTTTTGGTACTGTGACTAAAAATGGGGAAAAAAACCAGTGGACCTTTCACAAAAAATCTTGCGACATATTTTTATCTTAAGTGAAAACTTATGATAAAAATCATTTTCACAAAAATTCTTAAGAAAGTCGTAAGTGCAAAATCAGTCGTAACTTTACGAGAGCCCCAACCCTCTCTTAAGTATTTTAAAACTGATTTTATTGTAAAAATATAACCGCAAAAACCAAAATACACTTTTCATTAAACCTTTTAAAGCAACTTCCAATAATATTTTATATTTTTTTCACAATCATTGTCGAAAGATTAAATGAAATACACTACAAAATATTTACAATGCAAGTTTCACTTAAGATTTTTGTATGGCCTACTTTTATGTCAGACTTGTAATTGTGACGTCAGATTTTAAACCTCCTTGCTTCACAAATGATTGCATTCGATATTTGTAGTAAATAATGTTTGTTATGCTGACAAATGTTGAAAACTAATGCCCTGTTCACACGGAGAGTTTAATTCGAATTAAACGTAAGTTACTGCGAATTAAATTTGAACAGCGTTCACACGGAGAATTTAATGCGAATTAGTTTAATTCAAATTAATTTACTGCGCATTAAATTACTTCGCATTAGCTCCGTGTGAACGCTAAGCGAATCTAATTCGAATTAAATTTTGACGCATGCGTAAGGGCAGAATTAATTCACAGGCCACATGTCGGTGGTCAGATATAGGTACTTGCGCTATTTTTGAGTGGAAAACAAAGGAAAATTGTGTTAATTACTAAAATGTATACAGACACTATGACATTATGTCAAATCAGTGGTCAGATGTGATCTGCTAGGCACAATGTGACGTGATTCGCAAATGACATCATAATAGCCTCACTGAATAGCCTTATTGCAGAAATAAAAATTTAATTCGCATTAGTTTACTTCGCAAAAGCTGCCGTGTGAACGCAATTTAATTCGCATTAGTTTAATTGGCATTATTTTACTTCGCATTAATTTACTGCGAATTAAACTCTCCGTGTGAACAGGGCATAAGTTTAATTTTATTTTCACTCACTTATTTAAGGATTATAAAGCATATTGAAGTCGTTGCTAGGGATGAAGTCTGTAGTAAGTGAAATCTTAAGTTTCATCTGCTACGAATGCGTTCATGAAAAGCACTTAAGATTTGTCGTAAGAGATTCTAATTTAAAATCTTACGCAAAAACTTAAGATTTTTTGTGAAACGGGCTAGTGGTAACCTCATCTGGGGTAAAACTCATAAAAAAAGAGCACATTCAGTTGGAGGAAAAACATATTTTTTGAATGGGGAAAGAGGCCTTCCAATAGCCTCAATTATAGACAATTGAGAGCCTTGCACTGGCATTCTGTACTTGCTGAGGATGCTGGCATATTTAAAATGTGAACTTTTATAATCATGGTCCTGCTGTTCAATTTCTGAGAAAAAGAATTAAAAAAAACCTTTCCTATATGTTATGATTTCTATTGGTCTCCATTACAAAATCAGAGCCAAAGTGTGAAGTAGAATGGAAAGACAGATGAACATGTCATTACTTATCCTATTTATCCTTACTTATCTTACGTATACTTAGGTATACTACTTATCCTGCCTCTGATAAAAATTTTGAAGGAGTTTCATTGGTCAAAAAGAATATTGTATTAATATTAAACCATATTATGCTGCCTACTGACATTATATTGTTAATATGCCCCCTCCATGTGACCGACTCGCCACATATCAAATAACAAGAGGCCCAATGGGCCTTAACGGTCACCTGAGTATAACACAACAATTTAGAGGATCCATAGACTCTGAGTATAAAATAAACTGATAGATGAAGCTTTGTTGCCCAAAAGCAAGAGAAATAGGATGATCAGGATCAATGAAATAATTAGTGTAGTATTCAGTAACAACTCATACATTAAATTCTAAGCTATCCCCCATTTAGCACTATCACCATGCAGACTATTAACAAACAATTAGTTCTTCTGTATTACTTTTAACCCCATATTGTGACCTCTCACATTGGCCTCTCTTGGTCTTTGAAGAACATTTAATAAGTTATTTTTGTCTCATTTCTATTCATTTACTATAATTTACAAGTCTACCTAATCATTAAAACTATGAAAGTACTTTTTGTATTATTCAATAAAATTTTCTGCATAATTTTCTTATTCTAATAACTTTCAAATACATTATTTACAGTGATTAATTATCAAAAGTGAATGGCAAAGGGGAATAACTTCTCTTAGTTGAATACAAATTAATGGAGCCTTGGCCAGGACCAGAACACTTGACCAAATGGTCCTGATGTTCAAAAATCTGGTAAAAATATACTTGCTTATTAAAACTTTTATTAAATTTGCCTTCAGTATGCCAAGGAGCAGAGAAGATTTTCAAAGAAATAATGAATTTTCACTACAGATTCAACACAGCCCTACCCTAACACTAAAACCATGTCCAAGGGTCATGAAATTCTCAAATTTGTTCGAGGTACCCTCTTCATCATAATTATGCACTTAGTTTCAAAGAATTAACACATTATCAATAAAGCCTCCCCCCCAAGAAACACCAAAACCTGGGGACCACAAGTTTTAAAAATTTTGTTCATCATAACTATGCACTTTGTTTATCTGCTCAACACTAAGGAGCAGACAGGATTATTTAACAGAATTAATGCATTTTCACTATATTATCAATAGAGCCCCACCCTCACACCAGAAAATCTGACTTAGGGGCCATGAAACTCAAAATTCTGGAAGAAGCACTCTTGTTCATCATAACTATACACTTAGTTTCTTTGCTTTTTAACCAGGAGTAGAAAAGAATATTGTCAAAGAAATTATGCTTTTCACTATATAACCAATACAGCCCCCCTCCCCAACCCTGGGGCCATGAATTTCACAATTTAGGAAAAAGCATCCTTTTGCATCATACCCATGCACTTAGTTTGTTTAAATAATACACAGGAGCAGATTTTCAAAAGATTCAAAAGAATTAACACATTTTCTCTATATAATCAATAGAACCCCTCCCTTACACCAGAACCCATGACCCAGGGGCCATGAAATTCACAATATTAAAAAAAGACACCAATGCTTATCATAACCATGCACTTAGTTTGTTTAAATAATACCCAGGAGCAGAGAAGAAGATTTTCAAAGAATTTATGCATTTTCACTATATAATCAATAGAGCGCCACCCTAACACCAGAACCCCTGACCCAGGGGCCATGAAATTCACAATTCTGGAAAAACAATCAATGCTTATCATAACCATGCACTTAGTTTGTTTAAAGATACCCAGGAGCAGAGAAGAAGATTTTCAAAGAATTAATGCATTTTCAGTATATAATCAATAGAGCCCCGCCCTACCACCAGAACCCCTTACCCAGGGGCCATGAAATTCACAATTCTGGAAAAACAATCAATGCTTATCACAACCATGCACTTAGTTTGTTTAAATAATACCCAGGAGCAGAGAAGAAAATTTCAAAGAATTAATGCATTTTCACTATAAAATCAATAGAGCCCTGCCCTACCACCAAAACCCCTGACCCAGGGGCCATGAAATTCACAAATTTGAAAAAAACATCATTGCTTATCATAACCATGCACTTAGTTTGTTTGTATAATACCCAGGAGAAGAGAAGATTTTCAAAGAAATAATGCACTTTCACTATATGATCTATATAGCCCCACCCTAGCACCAGAACCCCTGACCCTGAGGCCATGAATTTCACAATTTTGGTAAAGGGCCTAATGCTTATTACAGTCATGCCAACAATTTGACTGCTTGATGTCCATGAGTAAAGAAGAAGATTTTTTAAAGATTGCATCAATTTTGGTGGTTTTAGCCCCACCCCTGGGGCCCCAGGGGGGCAGGGACCATGAAATTCACAATTTTTGTTTCCCTTCACCCAAACATGCTATATGCCAAAATTGGTTGAAATTGGTGTAGCGGTTCTAGAGAAGAAGTTGAAAATTTTCAAAAGTTAACGCATGACGCACGTCGGACAAAAACAGATATCAATAGGTCACCTGAGTGACTCAGGTGACCTGAAAATACCCCCTCCACATGCCATACTGTCCAGATCATATTCAATATGTTGTTTTCATATGAAGATGAAAGGAGCCTAATAACTGACGTCACATAAGCATCAAATGACGTCACAATGTAAGCAATTGCTACAGAATGGTTTGGTTATATAATAGACACTTAGAGGGGTAATACGGAAATATATGAGGTTCTTGAAAAAATGCAATATATTGGACTTGGCTTACACCTTGCCCAATATGCATTTTTTTCTAAGACACCATGCATATATTTCCGTATTACCCCTCTAAGTGTCTACATAACTAATAATGTCCCCCTCCCAAATACTTTGTTGGGAGGAGCACATTTAAGAAATATTAATTTTCTGTCTACATTTGTAGCTTTTGATATGTTCAGCTTAGGGCACAGTAATTTCTTATAGAAATTTAAGAAAAACAATAGATCAAAGGTTACAGAACAAGTATGGGTATTCATTTTTACCTTCAAATGAATTCTGGCTTTCAATTCAGAATCATGTTGGTGTTTGTGAAGACACAGATCACTGTTGTCAAACAATTCAACCCAAGTATCCTTCCATCCCCCATGAAATAAGCTCTCTGAAATGAGGAGATTTCTGATGCATAAAATTGATTATATTGCTTTACAGATGAATTTGTTAATTACATCTTTTATAAATTGGAGAAACAAAGTTACTGGGCAAAATTACAGTACTGTGAAATTACTTATTTTTTCAAGGTGGGGGGGGGGGGTCATTTTATCACTGTTGATTTGGTGGTATGAAGACATCCACAAGTTCATATTCTCCATGAAATTTTAAAACAGAGTATAATGTTTACTTTAACAGGAAATTGAATCCCCAAAACCAATATAATCTTTCCTCACATATTAACTTGAAACAGAATGCAGATCATCATTTCAACATTCAATTGATGCAAATTTAATTGACATAAGTTCAGTGCTTCTGGGAATGAGGACTAAAATAAAAGTTCACATTATCATACTGTCACAGACAAATAGATGCCAGGCAACCTTTAATGAGAAAAGCTCAGTTGAACTTAAGCAAGAGGCCCATGGGTCACAACACTCACCAGAATCAAGTTTCTCTTTCTAAGAAATGAAATCCTAATACTGTAGCCTTACTTTTAAAGACCATAGTTTTTGAAAAAAATAATTATTTACAGACTGATAATTAGATTGTAGTTCATGTAGAAGTTTATATATTTCTGTGCAAAACTTCAAACCATTATTTTGAACCTAACTTAGCTCCCTTGAACCACAATTTAAAGAAATTTGAATTTGTTTAACATGGAGAAACTTGTTTAAACATATTTGTTACCGTTCTGTTCTTTAAATAAAAAAATTCAAGAATTTTCTTTTTATACCTGTAAAACATGTAACCATATCCCAAGTCCTGGGGGGGAGGGGGGCATTATTTGACATGGTGGGAACAAGCATAATTAACTATGGGTTTCTGATTACATGCCTCACCCTAACTATATAGATCATGATCATTAATACAATATTCAATCTACAACTATATAGGGACACTTGACATTTTTTTTTCAATATGACTAATTGTTGTCCTGATGATTTAGATCTTTCAGATTTTTCCTATATTTCAGTTAAAAACTTTTGATTCCCTATTGTGGCCCCATAATAGCCTCCTGGGGCCTTGATTTTAAGAAAGATGAATTTACAGTTTAAAGGCACACTTTTGTTTGAGTTGTGTCATTTCTGGACTCATCACTGATTTTTAAATGACCCCATCCTTTTCACTATCTCTAAATTATCTCCCCCTAAACAACTCCATCAATCATTGTTTGAATAAATTTGAATGTCCTTCAACAATAGTACCTTGTGCCAATTAAATTTGGAAAAGTAGTTCTGGGTACGTGAAAATTATAGATCTACTTTTGTACATTCAGATTACAGATAGATATACAGTTGAACAACTGACAAAATTATAGACGTTCTTTTACAGATAGATAGACAGGTGGACAACTGACAGAATTAAATCAGAAAGGTTGCACATTCGAACCTGTAGTTCAGGTAAAATTCTAGCTGCAGAATTTCATGTAACTTTCCAAATTAAAAAATATTGACAAACCAGAGAGTTAGTGACAATACATAGAAAAATGGTATATTTATTGCACACAAAAAGTTGCTCTTGGTTATGGATTTATTTCTCCAAATTCTTACCCCAAGTACACAAAACCTTGATTTAAGAAAATTTCTTAGACCTCTATCAACTTCTGTTGTAGTTGACATCTGCATGAAGTATGCAATGGACCAAACTGTCTTGCCACCCAAAATGGCAGTATAAATTAAATAGGCAAAATTTTGAAGGTCTCAGTTTTAGGCCCAGAAAGGTAATTAGCAACGGTTATGGAAATGTTTTGTTGTGGAAATAATAAAGAATATGTTAGAAACAAACAGTAATATTTTGAGATGGCAGTTTAAATATATGGAGAAATAAATCAGGAAACAGTACTTTTTTGTGCAATAAACACTTTTTTCAATGGGTGGCACTGTAGTTCTCTGGTCATCCATCCCAAATTTTTGCAGCCCAGCTACCTATAGATCTGCAGCAAGTAAAATTCAATCAACTCATACATTCATGTATGATACAATTGTATCTTTTATCTCTGGGGGTCCTTGATTGGAAATAAACTATTGTCTATTGTATATACATATGTAAGAGAGAGGAGAAAATTGTGATGGACCAGACTAGGATTTGAACCCAGGCCCCCTGAATCTCCAGTCAGGTGCTCTACCAACTGAGATATCTGGCCACCAGCGATTGAACCCGCCTGACTGCCACATCTTCCCTCCTTAAAGGTTGTTGGCCCTTGAAGACACAAACCCAGGCTCTTCCAGGCTCTGGTTCATTGCATTATTCTCCTCTCCCGTTACAGTTGATGTCGTTCCATGCCCTGGAAGTGACAGGTGAAAGACCTGTCAAGGAAGAGTGTGGGACGGTTCGCCCCAAAAGACCATTCGCGCCGAGACATTTCACCCCAAGACAGTTCGCACCGAAGTTCAATTAATTAATTATGCGGTAATTATCATGTGTTAACAGCAATTATTAACTTCTTAATAACTTTTGCACTGTGTTATATTAATCCAATCCTTTGGTTCAATCAATAAAACCTGTCCAATTTATATGGTATATACTAAAGACGTGACACTCTGAAGACCTGATTGAGATAATTTTGCCTGTATGAGGGAAATATTAATAGATGATGCATACCAAAATACACTTGCAGAGAATAAAAACTGAGAATCTATCTCTATATCATGCTATATAACCCCTTCCTTCCCCCCTCCCCCCCCCCCCCCCCCAATATTAAACCATACTAAAATTAAAAAAAAGAAATTGCCAGAGCTGATTTTTTTTATGAATTCCTGTTACTTAAAAAAAAGAAGATATTTCTTACTAAATGATATTTTTTATATGATGTGAGAAAACAGCAACTCGTGATTATTTTAATGACATGATGATTAAAAAAAAAACTGATCTATTTTGATATTAACAGATATAGAAATAAATTAAGGTATGTCACTTGTGAAATTAGTTATATCAAAAGATTTTTTTGAGAAGTATATTTTTGATAAGTACTTATATAGCATTACTCAAAATCGCAAAGAAAATTGGAGTCAGTGTGCATCCTATTGAGCAACAGTAAAATGAACTTGACACCCGTCTCATAATTTAATTCTCCTCTTTTATAATCTTGACGTGGAGAGTATCCAAATTATAGTTATAACACCTTTATTACAAAACTGAATCAGACAATTATGATTGCATGCTGAATAAACATAATTATATCTGCACATGGATGATTATACATTTAATTATGGTATAAGCCTATTTCCAACAATTTAAACATAAAAGTTTTTTCAGTAACTTTAGAACATTTTTTAACAAAGTCAATATTAATCTTATATATAAATATTTATCTTAAAGCATCGTAATATATGGTTATAGACAAAGTAGATTAAATTTGGCGCGAAACGTCTTGGCACCAAAGGTCTTTAGGGGCGAATGGTCTCGGCGCGAAACGTCAATAGGGGCAAAACGTCCTGTTACCCCAAGGAAGAGCCTGGATTGGTACGTGTCTTTGGGGGCCGAAGACCTTTAAGGAGGAGGAATGTGGCGGTCAGATGGTTTCGATCGCCAGTGGCCAAAAAGCTCAGTTGGTAGAGCACCTGACTGAAGATTTAGGGGCCTGGGTTCGAATCCCGGTCTGTTCCGTCTTATTTTTCTCCTCTCTTGTTACACATATAAGACCCTTGCCAATAAACAGGCACATTTCAGTCATTTTTCTGGTCATTTTAGAAAATGCTTATCAAACTATAGTATGAATAGGAGTCTAAACCCCTTCCTAATCCTGTATTCTAGTGCAACTAATTTGTCAGCAATCTACAATGAAAATGACAATACTGGGACCCCCTCCACCCACCCACCCCCCACCCCCTTCTCCACTACACACACACACACAGTTTCCACGATATCCATACAAATTCATGGATCCTTCTCACTTGTCAAGAATCACTTACTGCTGTGACGTTTCAAGTATCCCGACTTCACTAATGACATTTTTATCCACCTTTCCCTAGGAGAACGTACTGCAAAAAAAAAAAAAAAAAAAAAAAAAAAAAATCCTATATTTTTAATTTTTTTTTGTGGAAAGTCTGCAATATTAGGTAAAACAGATAATGTGCAAAATTGAAATTTATAATAAATAATGAATGCTTAAGACTAATCTAGAAGAGAAGAATTGAAGTATGATGCCAATACATAAATGAATCATGCCTGATTGGTCAATGAACTTGCAGACGAATTTTAACTTGACCAGCTAAATTTTGACGACTTTAAATACCGAAAAATCAGTGCACTGATAAATTTGATTAAATTATTAAAAATAAACTTTTAATTAACCAACCTTTCTGTTAAGATGACTGGATAGTATTGAATCGCCTTCTCCCTGCGTAGTTCACTACGTTAGAAAATTCGGGAAATTTTGGATATTACCGTGGTACGAGCTAGCAATTTTTAAGAAAAATTGTTAAGTTGAACCATGAATGGGTTGGGGGAAAAAACTTTTTATCGATATTAACTGGACAAAAATACTAATATTGATATTACTGTCAATTTAACTTGTTAAAGTGTAAAATCATATTTCTCAAAATACTATTTTTGACAGAAAAATAAAAATTTCCTATTTCGGAAAATTTCATAATACATATACGCGTTTGGTTTTTAATTTTATTTATTTTCAAGATGGCAGCCTCCTTGAGAATAATTTCCAAAGGCTGTGGAATTGGTTTAAAGCAAAATAGAACATTGTATTCAAAAATTAAAACTTTAGATTTGTCGTACTTGAACTTCAGAAGAAATGCATCAGTGGTTCGCAACATACCACCCAAAAGTTTTGAATACTGTTACAGTTTAGTCAGGTAAAACTACATCATTTGACTATTTGATGATTGTTTTCTTTATGTGTTTTTTGCTAAATCTGCAATGTTAGTATGTGTTTTCAAAGTGATAAAAAGAGTTACCGATTACCATTCATATTGCATTTCAACAGTTATTTTTTAAGCTCTCGTATTAGAGCAGAGGAAATTCGAGTCAGATTTGTTTTTGTGGACGTCAAGTTCCAAAATTCGGGTAGACTTTACTTTACCGGTCCCCAGATCCGCAAGATCCGCGCGCTCATTGCACTATGACGTAAGATTTACGTCACTCAACTGATTAGGGTTGGTTTTGCACATTTTTCGACTGGTTAGGGTTAGTCTTGCACCCACCTGAAAGATTAGGGTTAGTCCTTGCATAAGTTTTCGACTGATTAGAGTTAGTCTCGCATATATCCGAGAGATTAGGGTTAGTCCTCGCACATGGGTTAGTCTAGCATGGTCTAGCATCCGCCTGGGAGATTTGGGTTAGTCCTCGCATACCATCCGAGAGATAAGGGTTAGTGTCTTGTTCTTTTAGATTAATTAAGAAATTCAGTTGCATCTGTATTTTTTGCAAGATCTTAATTCAGCTTCAACGACATCTCGTTGGTTTGTTTACATGAAAAAAATGGCTAAGTACGAAAGAAACGGCACTAAGCATGCGCCGCACTCGCTTCGTTCACAATTATTTTTTGTCTCCTTTTCACTGAATAAACAACATTTATTACTTTTTTTCAGAAAACGAGGTTAAAAACTTCGTTTATAAACGAAGTTTTAAACTAAACTTTTAACCGTAGAATTCGAATTTGGGGTCAAAAAGGCTTAAAACCTCATATTTTTTATTTTTTTCGATCGCTCACGCGATCTCATATATATTGAAGTCGCCTACGGCGACACTATATTTTAGCGCGTTTTTCTGGGGACCGGTAAAGTAAAGTCGTTCCCAAAATTCTCATCCATCTAATCATGCATTTGTAACAACATGGCAGTATACCTTAATTTTAAATTAATTTAAATTTAAAGATTAAATGCATTCTTTTCACTGCAATTTTATATTTCCAGTCACACTTTTTGTCTCCCATCCTTCAAAGGACATGGCAAAACATAACTATATGACATCTTAAAAAAAAATTGATGTTCCCATATTTTATAGTATTAAGATTAACAATTAAATCATTTACGTCTTTGCTGAAATTAAATTCTGAAATGATTGAAAGGAAATAAGATTATTTATATATGCTATCATCTAAGATGTTGAAATATACATGTTAACATGTATATTTACAAAAGAGCTAACAGGATATATGGCAAACATGGTAAAGGGCAATCAGAAATTATGGCAAATGGGGTACAGGGTGAATGGGAATTATGGCGAACAGACTCGTGCGAACAGGTAGGAGAGGGCAAACGGACTTGATACCCCTTCAAGAAAAAAGATGTTCCATTTTGTTATTTTTAATTAATACATTAATTAAAAAACTTGTTGGAATTTTCTGATTTGTCAGAAAGGCACAAAAACAGATGATGAAGTTGGCATCTGATCTCCCAAATGATGATAATCAGCAAGGATTAGAAAAACCAGAGAAATATATGCCCAGAGTTTATGTAAAATGAACAGGTTGATGCCAATAGGAATGAATATATAAGTATTTATGATGTTGCTGATTATATTGAGCAATACTTCACTGTTTTGGAAGATTTACTGTCAATTAGGATGCTTGATAACAAAAGAACAGCCATAGTCTTTGTGAAAATGACACTTCCTTGAACTTTCTAAAAAGTTAGTGGACTCTTTGAAATTATTATAAGGGAAAGAGTCGGTGTGTCATTCAGAATGCTGACATGCAATGATCAGATGCCTGTGTATTAGAGATCAATGTCTCTTCCCTTTTCCAATGTCATCCACTGATATTTTCTTATTTTCCTCAATCTTTTTTGACAGAAAATAAATGACATCTTTAATTAAATTTAGTAATTTTTGAGCTGATGAGTGCATCCCGACTAACAGTTATGATAGATTGGTATATCGATGATATAACATATCCAATATTACTTAGTAATAATTGTCCCAACTGCCAGTTTACGCAAAACAAAACTCCCCACCGTAACAAAAGAGCACACCAATTGAGATACTAAAACTCGAAATTTGTGTATTAAGCCCCAATAGTTTATGTCCAAAGAGTCCATGTGTACCCCCATCTGTGTGTATGTTTTCATAGTATCAAACAATGTGATGGATTTTGCAAATGCCTAAATATTACGTTCCTGACCAAGTGTTGACAACATAAAACCTGATTATTGGGTCCTCACAAACCATGGGTGTATAACTCTCTTTAACTTCAGAGAAAATTTAAAACTGGTTAGTACATACAGGGACCTATATACTAATGGGATAGGCAACTCCTTCAGCACCATGTTTATTTACCAAAACGGCACACACAACACTGCAAGTTTTTCAAACTACGTTTCTTCCCAGTAAAAAGCTTGTTTTCTGATTTATGTAATCTGTTCTTTTTGTGTATCGGAATGGATATTTAATAAATTTTAAAGCACATATTATAAAATAATTTAGATATTAAGTAAACAACCACCAAAATCGGCGATTTCTCGGAAATACGGCCGATCAGGGGCACGCACCAATTTTTAAATAAACGTAATTACTTCTATTAAGATAAGGAGTAAAAACAGTGCTAGTAATAAATCTTGAATAATTTTGTGATAGATAAATTAAGATTTTATTCTGAAATATTTGATAGCAAAGGAGATATTATACACCTATTTACTGGCTATGAGGACAATAGCAATTTTATCGTTCCCCAAGACAGCAACTATTTCCCGAGCGCAGCCTCGGGAAATAGTTGCTGTCGAGGGGAACGATAAACTTGCTATTGTCCAAATAGTCAGTAAATAAGTGTTTTATTATACTGAAGCAGTCTTTACTTGTGTTACGTCACAATCTGTATAAAACCAGAAGAGTTCCGAGATGAAAAGTGAGGGAAACAGAATGCTGTCGGTGAATAGTTTAATGACTATTTCACCATGGGCAAATAGCACAAAAACTATTCCACGGTAGGGACTGTTTGGAAAAAATAGCATGTTTATTCGTAATATTTTTATATAGAAAAAATTCACAGAGGTATAATAAATTTAACTAAAATTGACTTACGAAATCCCGCAACTTACGAGATATCGCGAGACTTGTGACAGTTGCCTATCCCGTTAGTATATAGGTTCCTGGTACATAATACTCAGGTGACTGTTAAGGCCCATGGGCCTCTTGTTAATCAAGAAATGACAATTGTGTTCCGGTAATCATTTCTTACTGTAATTAACTTAAACTTTATATCATTCTATTTTGTAGGCAATATGACCATGAAAATTATCTTTGTACCTTACTATTAAGAAGAGACCTTCGTGCTGCAGTTATTGTCTTAAGGGCCTTTAATATTGAAGTTGCTATGGTAAAGAATGGTATAAATTTAGATTATAAAAGCATTGGTTTGTTTCAAACCAACACATATTTGTAATTTCTTTTATTCAAAACTGATAAATGTCAACCCTCTACAAACCATTTATATTTTTAAGATTTCTTATAAGTATGGAGTTGACAGCAGATTAAAATAATGGTGCCAATCTCATTGAAAATCTCAAAAAAAAAAAAAAAAAAAAAAAAAAAAAAAACACGGATAAACCAAAATAACAAAACAAAACAAAACAACAGACAGTTTTATGAACAAGTTAAAACCTTCAAATACTAACTATTAAGTAAGAATTTAGTAATTTCTAATAAAAAAAAAATTATGCATTAATGTTGTTGCTGTCTTTGTTAGACTCCACATTTAAAATAAGACTGATTTACCTTCTTTGCTTAGATTTTCTATAGAAAACATTTGTTTGTGTATTAGGTTGCAAGCAATGTATCAGACCCAATTAGAGGTCTTGGCAGGTTCCAGTTCTGGAGAGAAGCTCTTGATGGAATTTACAGTCCAAAGGCATGTGACTCAGAGTTCTGTCAAGTTAACTGTTAATGATAAAAGAAATGTTATCTTTGAAAAATAATCCTTTAATAGCATGAAATATGAATGTGTTTATTAATTCGTTTATCTGTTATTTAGGGAACTGTACCTCAAACACCAGTGGCCCAGTTGTTGAATTGGGTTTGTAGTTTTCATTATGTTTAAACTTATAAACTTAAAAATTTATCATATCTACATCCTATATATTTTTTTACATTACGGTAAATTGAATTTCTTGGTTGTTGAAGATTTCAAAATAAATCCCTTTTGCTATTGTTAATTGTATTATGAAAATTTCAACCAGGTAAAAATAGAATAATTATTTTTACAGGTAGCTAATGAGTACCAGGTCTCTAAATCATGGCTCTCCAGGCTGATCGAAGCTAGGGTAAGAAGCCAAAATACAGCTTTAATAGGGCTTGCGCAAATTTCTGGTTATAATTGTCACAGTCAACAAAGTCACTTTCTTCATTATTCTTTGCAGGCTTCCAATCCTACGAGTCAATTTAAGACATTGGTGGAAATGGACAATTATTATGAACAAGTTGTTTCCTCAATGAATTACTTATTACTTGAATTACACGGTAATAAATTTTAAAAATGACAGTCTTATCATTCGGACCTTACCGAGAATACCCTGTATAGAACAAATGTAACAATATACAATAAACTCTGTGCATGTGTTTAGGTAAATGAAAGGTAATCTTCATTGGTGGCCATAAAGACACAATGAATTTGGTATTGATTGTTTTAGTATAGATACATTTTGGCAATTTTAGCACTTAAAAACTGAACTTTTACATCTGCCATAGTTGAAAAAGTTGTATGTTTTCACCTGTGTTATCTTTGTCCACTCATAAAGACTTTTATAAAGTGTCAACTGAATGCCATCTTTGTTAGGTTTCTGATCCAAAATCTACTCTCAGATTGGAAACCCTTGGCCAGCGAAGATGACTTATATTACCTAATACAACTGATTTTGCTGTTTTATTAAATATGTAGTATTTTTGACTATTTTGTCTGTATATTCTCTCCTCTGAACTAATTAAGAAACTTCAGATTGATCTATTGGACCACCGGTCAATAGTTTGTGACTTCTGGACTGGCGATCTATTGACCACCAGTCGATAGTTTGCAAATTTTGGACCATCAATCTATTGGACCGACGGTACCCATATACACACTATGATATTAGGTAATAAAACAGTTAGTTAGCCTCAGGCAATAGAACACATAGAGCTGTTCCCAGTACCTTGGGAAAAATATTCTGGTCTATTGACTGATCGGACATTAAATAGCTGTATAATATTTGATATTCTCAAAATCACCAACCGTGATTCAATGTACTATGACATAAAATAAGGGTTCTTTTTTTTTGACATAAAATAAACTTTACAATGTTAAAACATAACATTAATACAAAATTAATACATGTAAATGATTTAGTACTGCAGACCTTTATACAGATTTTTGATAGGTTTGTGGCCTTGTCACCTGAACCCCTGACCTCATTTGATACTGTAGTATTATGCCAGAGTTCCTGGTAAATTCTCATATAAGTCTCTGCTGTGTACCAGAGTATTCGTAAACTCTTTTAACACCGAACTACTTCATATAACTGAGTAATCAAAGTTCTTTATTAAAGAAATTACTGATAACTCCGTGGTGAGGACCTGTTTTACAATTAAAAATGTGTATATTTTTAAAGGTATAAAAGATGTACAGGCAGATCATGCTGCCAGTCATTTAGGACGATGCTATGGGATGGTGAATTTAATAAAGGTTACCCCATCCCAGCTGTCACAAGGAAATGTAATGTTTCCCCATGATTTATTAGCAAAGGTAGTGCAATTTATATCATAGTGTTTCATTTCTTTGTTTTCATAATACACATGTAATGAGAATTTTGTTTAAAATTCAGGATTTTTAAAAATAATAATTTTTTTGTAATGCTAATGAATGCAAGAAATAAAAACTCTATATTTATTTTTTGCTTTTTGAATTTCAGCATTCAGTATCTCAGGAAGATATCAAACGAGGGAAAAATCCAAAAGGAGTCAGTGATGTTGTGTACGAAATAGCAAGTGTTGCAAAACAGCATCTAGACAAGGTAAATATCCAATGGTTATTGCTAACATTTCTTAACATTGTTTATTACTGTACAGTCATTGTTTGCATTACCATTTTAAGTGGTCTAGATACACTTTACCTTTTAAAGTGAAAGTCTGCACTTTTTCTCATAGAATTTCATTTTAAATAGTGAAGAAAGGGGTATTTCAACAAATCTTTCTTCTTAAAATATACATGTATGAGCCAGAATTGACAAATTTATATATTAAAACCTTTCACTGTATTTTATTGATTCAGTTTAATTTAGATCATAAAGCCTGTGGCCAATTGAAATACATGTAGTAGAAAAACAGATACAGTATATACTGAATTTTAAAATTATAAATAGAGGATATTCAGAGTTCTGTAGCTTCATAGGGAATTTTCTCCATATAGGAAAGATTTCTCTTTATTTTCACTCAGAAAAAAATCCTAGCTGTCTCACGAGAGTCAGAAATAAACTCTGTATCCAAATTTAAAAATTTTCTTTACTTTCCTTCTGTGGCTCTTAGCTGTCTCTTTGTTGAAATTCAAAATAATATTGGGAAGGGGGGGTGCAACAATAAATTCAATTTTTCCCACAGTAATAGAAAAAAGTTGTTTTTACATTTATAATAAATATCCCTAACTTCTGGAACATCACCAAAAATGAGGTCAAAACAAAATTATATGCAACAAAACTAAATTCTTTCCATTTTGAATGTGTTTTAATATAAGAAATAAAGTCAGACTTCATTAATATCTTGAACTCGATGGGACTGTGAAAAAAACTGAGATATCCGAGGTTTTGAGGTATCCAGGGTAAAATACTTATAGAATAAGAGGTTGGGACTTCCAAATTACTTCAACATATCCATGGTATTCCAGATATCAGTGTTCGAGATACTGAAGTTCAACTGTATATGTATTACACATGCAGATTAAATTTTGTTCTTTTCCTTACTTTTGCTTCAAAGGCCAGATCATTGAAAGGAAATGTTCCAAATCAAGCTATGCCTGTGTTTCTTCCATCCGTAAGTTTACTTCACATTTCAAAAACCATTAATAAATTGAGCTTTTTAAATCTTGTTATTAAAACAATTTTATTTTTTGACGTGCATGTAATTTTTTGAAATCTACAAGTTACCTGTATGTTGTATTGTTATCTCCCCTTTTCAACAAATTTTTCCATTAAAATGATTTGACAAGTTCTATCTGCTTTCTTTTAGGTGTTTTGTGATAATTACCTGACTAATTTACAGAAAGTGGACTTTAATGTGTTTGATCCAACACTGAATAAGAAGAGATTTCTATACCACAAACTTTTACTGCAAAGATTCAAGAAAACCTATTAATATCAGTCTGTGATTAGAGCAAAAAAATGGAAACTGTGTTGCAGCATAACGTTTTAGATAATGTAGCAAATGTGAGATGCAAAAAATCTCTGATTTACAGAGATTGTTTTATTGTTATTTGATTACAGAAAGATTACAAAAAGTGATGTTCCTCCTTTTTGTTCAAAAACAAAATTATGAGATGGCAAAGTACAGGACAAATGTGTCCCCCACCTTTGTGTTTTAGTTTCCAGAATGTTCAACCACAAGCATACATGTATTTAGTTGACCTCAGGAACGTATATGTATATGAGAGGTATACTTGTGAGAAATACTTTGAAGTCGGTTTTCTTTCCTCATAATGGTGAAAGACTTGTCATTACATGAATTATAAGAGAATTTTTATAATAATTGTGATGTTTTCAATCTGTAATGACAATAAGAAATGAACACATTGCTTGATGTATTGAAGGAATATGCAAGAAAATATTTACAAGTATTTTTAACCCCCCCCCCCCAAGAAAACAAATTGCAGAAATGGAAGCATCCTCACAATGTCAAGGTTTTGTGATTTTGGAACTCCACACAAACCCTTGACATAAGTTGTTATTTAAAAGTTGGGCTAGAAAGCTACTATTTCATTTGTTCCTGGTCTAGGACTGGAACCAATCAGAAAACAGCTTTTATTGTAGGTAAGTTTTGTAAGCAAATATGACTCGTCTTTAAAATGGAAAATGTCAATATTGTAGGATTTGTTACTAGTTACTTTAAATAAAACATTGGGGATTAATTTTTTGAACATCGTCCTCCTTACAATCACAAAAGATATACTCTAGAGTTGGGCAATTTGATAACAATGGATTTAAAAATATATATTCTCATTGGTTAGTTTATAATTACCCATTACATCATGTGTAACCACACGCCCAACTTTTTTAAAATAATAACGACTTATGTCAATGGTTTGAGTGGAGTTTTGAAGTCACAAAACCTTGACATTGTGAGGATGAAATAGAAGGAGTATTAAGACATCATGGGCTTGTCATTAGATCCTGTAATAAAGTTGCAACATCTCAGGTTTTTCTGGAGAGTATTACCTGAGAGACTCAAGCAAATATGATTGCTCTCTAATAATTGAGCTTATTTGAAAACTTGGCAGCAGCCATGCTATCGAAAGTTTCATAAGAATAATCCTAAGAGATGATTTCAGAGACATCTTAGGACCTAACTTAGGATGGTCCTAAGACAGTTATAGACATAGAAGCTTTCTTAGTAATGTCTTAACTAGAACAGAGCTTAGAGATTCTTTTTAAGATAATATTATTATACATTTATTGACTGAAATGAAATTTGGTATACAGATTTACCATAAGAATATCTAGGTCAAGTTCTGTTTTGGGTACGATGGAGCAATTTTTGACAGAGTTATGCCCCTTGGACTTTGGAAAATTCCAATTATTTGGCATAAGTGTTTCACAAACATCTTTTGTTTATTTATTTATTTATTTATTTATTTTTTGCTGGCTTCCATGATGAACATTTTCTTTACTTGCACTGCGGTAAAACTCGGGCAATTCTGTCACTGTTGAACACCTAAGATTTAGCTGATCCCAAGAACAGTGTAAAGTAAGCAGTCCAATATCTCATCAACAGGTCTAATATCTCACTCTGCGGTCAAACATTGATTTTTTTATGACCGCTCAGTAGAACATTGGAAATGCCATACTTTTTACTTATAGATTTATATAGGAACTAATTTTAAAGGTATAACAATCTAAAATATGTAGCGGTACAAACTATGTTTACATAACAAAGAAAAAATAATAATGTCAGAACCTTAAATGTTTTAGTAGCTTGTAAAGAGATGAGTCTTCATAAATACATGTAATTGTAAAAATTCTTTGTTATTTAATTAAACAACAGAAAGGACATCTCTCTCTTTCTCAAAATAATGAAGAAAAAATAAAAACATGCAAATTGGGAGTATGCAAACTCCAAAATTTATTTCATGAGTGAGTTAGACCATACTGCACAACAAAGTAGGGGGGGGGGGGGGATGGCATCTCAATGAAAATTTCCATACTTAATGAACAGCAAAAGACCAAAAAGTGGGAAAAGACTCCTCTCCGCGGCCTCCAATATTACATGTATGCCTGATAAGAAATGAACAGTTGCACAAAGTTAGGAACCTCTCAAGTTCATCTTCGGATGGATGTTGTAATGTCTCAACTTAAGAAGAAATATTAAGATATGTTTTAAGTATGGACAGATTTAGATAGTCTCACTTAGGACTAAAATATCTCTTCATGTATGTCATAGTCCTTCATGGTAGCTCAGTCTTTTGAGTGCTCGCTCTACAATCAGAAGGTAGTGGATTAATTCAAACCTAGCTGCGACAGACCTAAGTCTGTAAAAAAAATAGGTAGCAGCTGTTCCTTCACCAAGTGCTCGACAATTGGAAGTGAAAATTGCAGGTCTTGTGGGTAAGTCCTTAAAAAATCCTGTATCACAATGGTGTTAGCATGATAAAGATTCGTCACTGCTCAATGGCCCTTAGTGCCGAGTATAGGTCTAATTTTGAAGCCCTTCACCAGTATATGATGACATAGAACATGAATATGATGTAAAACAACATACAATCAGTCAATCATAGTCTTAAGATGGCTTCGATAGCATGCATGCTGTTTCTTTCCACATGATATTTGTATGTACAATTGATTATACAATGTATATATTATTGGTAGGTCACCTGAGTCACTCAGATGACCTATTGCTATCTTTTTTGTCCATCTTTTTGCATCCTAGGATGTGTGTTGGTTATAAACTTTTGAACATTTTCAGTTTCTTTTAAACCGCTGAACCAATTTCAACCAATTTTGGCATATAGCATCAATGGGTGAAGGGGTACAAAATTGTGAATTTCATGGTCCCTTCCCCACTGGGTCCTGGGGGATGGGGCTAAAACCATCAAAATAAGTGCTTTTTAAAAATTATCTTCTTTACTCCTGGACATCAAGCAGTCAAACTTTGCATGATTATAATGTTCAAGCATTGAGCCCTCTTCCAAAATTTTGTAATTCATTACCCCAGGGTTGGGGTTCAGGAGTTAGGGTGGGCTTCTAAGGCCAAGCTTAAAAAAATTCTTTGTTTGTAGTTGCTGACCTATAATTTTTAGAGTGGGTTGGTATGTAGGCATTTTTATGCCCTGCCATGAATATGGCCGGGGCATATAGTGTTTGTCATGTCCATCTTCCATCCTTCCGTCTGTCCTTCCGTCACACTCTGTGTTTAGCTCTGTTCAATGCTCAGTTTCAAAGAAACTATCCAAGATATTTTTATCAAACTGATAGATATTGATGAGAGCTATGCAACTGCATCAACATTTTTTAACCTTGACCTTTCCTTTGACCTTGACCTCACTTTTCTTAAATTAGTGTTTAGCTCAGTTTTAAAGATACCATTCAAGATAGTGTAATCAAACTTCATATGTTGATACATACTGATGTAAGCTATTCAACATTTTTTGACCTTGACCTTTCTTTTGACCTAGACCTCACTTTTCTTAAATTGTTTAGCTCAGTTTTAATGAAACCATTCAAGATATTTTAACAAACTTCATATGCTAATACATACTGATGAGAGCTATTCAACTGCATCAATATTTTTTACCTTGACCTTTCCTTTGACCTTGACCTCACTTTTCTTAAGTTTTTAGCTCATTTTTAAAGATACCATTCAAGATAGTGTTATCAAACTTCATATGCTGATACATACTGATGAGAGCTATTCAACTGCATCAACATATTTTTTTTACCTTGTCCTTTCCTTTGACCTCACTTTTCTTAAATAAGTTTTTAGCTCATTTTTAAAGATACCATTCAAGATAGTGTTATCAAACTTCATATGCTGATACATACTGATGAGAGCTATTCAACTGCATCAACATTTTTTGACCTTGTCGTTTCCCTTGACCTTGACCTCACTTTTCTTAAATTAGTGTTTAGCTCAGTTTTCAAGAAACCATTAACAATATTTTTATCAAACTTCATATGCTGATACATACTGATGTAAGCTATTCAACTGCATCAATATTTTTTCAACTTGACCTTTACTTTGACCTTGACCTCACTTTTCTCAATTTGTGTTTAAAGAAACCATCCACAATACTTTTATCAAACTTCATATGCTAATACATACTGATGTAACCTTTCCAACTGCATCAACATTTTTTGACCTTGACCTTTCCTTTGACCTTAACTTCATTTATTTTAGATTAGTGTTTAGCTCAGTTTTAAATAAACCATTTTTATCAAACTAATATGCTGATACGTATTTATGAGAACTATTCAACTGCATCAAAAACGTTTGACCTTGTACTTTTCTGGGACCTTGACCTCACTTTTCTTAGATTTGCATTTTGCTTAATTTTAAAGAAACCATTTAAGATATATTTATGTAAGCTTATGCACTTATACATAATTTGGTGCAAATTTATCATCTATATCAAACTTTTTAGATTTCAATTTTAAAGAAATATTCAAAATATTCTCATAAGATTTCACACACTAATACAAATTTTCATGTTGCATTACTAATATACCCTCGGCGGGGCATTCATGTCCTATGGACATATTTCTATTTTTTTTTTTTTTTTTTTTTTTTTTTTGAAAAAAAAAAGATCATAGTTTTCAGATTTCTGTTAGATAACAAAAATAGGCTTGCTAACCATAAAAAAAATCCACTTGACATAAATAAAAAATGAAAATTTTAATATCCTAATTAAGAGCTTGAAACTTAAAAAAAATAATAATAATAGAAAATAGCTTTAAAAAAAAGTTTGGGTCGGGTGCATTTTCAATGAGTCAGTAGGCAACTGCAAACAAACAGTTTTTTATTTTAGGCCTAACGATCATATAGTGAAAATGCATAATTAAGGTATGTCACTCGTGAAATTTGTTATATCAAGGATTTTTTGAGAAGTATATTTTGGATAAGTACTCATATAGTATGACTCAAAATCGCAGAGAAAATGGGGGGTCAGTGTGCATCTAAATGAGCTACGGTACAAATAAGTTGACCTTTTTGCACTTAAATTGTAACTCTTTGGTTAATCACTTTAACCGTTATCATATATCATAAGATGTAACCATGGCAATAAACA